AGGCCGCCATTGGAATTTGGAAGGGAAAAAAAAAATGGGGGATGGAGCCCGGAGGAGATATCGAGCGATGGATGGATCGAGGGACGTCCGGTTTGGTGTTTTATAGCATAAAAGAAGAAATTTGGAATACAGAGGAGGAGAGAGAGAGAGAGAGAGAGAGAGAGAGAGAGAGAGAGAGAGAGAGAGAGAGAGAGAGAGAGGGATTCTGCGAGGTGTTGTTTCGTAGCAACCCGTGAAGACGGATAATTTGGACAAAGTTATTAGTATAATTTATTATTATTTGCTAAAATAATATTTCTTGCGTCGAGTATTATAGTACTCACGCTTTTTGGACAAAACGAATTTATATTCCACATGAAAGAAAAAGAAAAAAAAACACGAAAGCAAATTATTACACACTTTTTTTTCCTCCGATTGGTTGAGTCACGAAAATGTTCCTTTAGGGAGAGATGTTAATATCATGATTATGTGTCCAGGTTTATATTCAAAGGAAAGCAATGAGAATAAAACTTATCTTGCTTTTTTGCCCTTGTGTGGTATGAAGAAAGTGAATGAAGTCAACTATCGTTCGAGTTTCGATGATTTAAAAAACAAATTATTATAAAAAAGATTTAACGGAGTGATTTATAAATTGATGGCAATTCTAAAATCTCGTTGATTATTTTTTGAATTTTTTTTTAAGGGTGAACAAATTATGTTAACCAGAAAGAAAACAAGTTAAAAAGGTACAAGTGCTCTCTCAATTGCTTTTTGGAAGATTTACCTTATCAACTCATGACTCGTCAAGTAGATGAACGAATGTTGTCGGACAAGTTGTGTGTGTATGTCTTCTAAGGTGATAATGGAACGTAAAAGTGAGAGGATTATATTAGACACAGCAATTAGATTAGAATGGTAGACAAGCTAAGGGAAAAAAAAAACCGAAAATGGACGGTCGGAAGAGAGATAGAAAAGAGATGTGATCAAGTATGATACACGGGGGATGTTTTTTTTAAGACAAGGGAAGTGGGGAGATAGGAGGGAATCTTTTATTTGCAACTTGCCATAAAAAGTCTGGTTGGTCTTGTGAGTTGTGAGAGATGGGAGATTGTTTTCTTCAGCCTTTTGTTATATATTATGTATTTTTTTGTATTATTTATGTTATCCTATTTCCTATTAGGATAATTCGAGTATCACAAATTATATCAAATTAAAGCTTTATCATCAAGCATTAGTGGTGGTGGATTCATGATATAGTCTTCATCACAATGTCAATTGTATATGACGGTTTTTTAATTTAGCAAATTCACCAAATAGTGGAGTCTTCATCCATAACGGTAACATACTCTATCAAACAAAATAGTTAAGCAATTAGCGGGAAATTCATTGCTCATTTTGTTGCGTAAATAAGTTTTCACATGTTTCATTTGCTGAAAATATTCTCCCGATAGAAGTCGTTGAAACAAGCTAGGTCAACAATAGACGAATCAACCGACAAATCAATTTGTTGTGTGTATCTATCGCTGTTTCTACTAGCTTCTCTAGTAATTTTGTATTGGAGGAAACTTCATATTTCTGATTATGAACCACATGAGCGGCATAATGTCCTAGATCATTCTTCAAAGAATGCATCTAATAGTCTTCAAAGTCTCAAGGATAAACTCTTGAGCAAATTTGTAAATACTTTCTCCATCAACAGGCCAGAAAGAACTTTACGATCTAATGCACCACTCAATTGAAGCAATAGAAATGAGGACTCAACAAGTTTGTAAATATTTTCTTCATCAAAGGACCGGAAAGAAAATCAACGCCCGACAACTAGCGGAGGAATCCGTTTTGGGGTTGTTAGTCTCCCCGTTCTAATTTTGTTTTTTGGGGGATTGGGGGATTATTTGAGTTCTGACATAGAAGTGTGAGGTTTAGTTTACAGGGTTTTTTTTTATTTCAATGAAAATGTATATTTTTAGTCTTTTACGTGTAAGATTTTTAGGTTTCATTATTTATTTTATTTTATTTTTCAAATGAATATTATTGGGCTAGAATTTTTAGTCTAAATTTAGAGTAGTGGTTTGGATATGTTTATCTATACCATTTTTCAAGTTAAACAAATCTTATTAACAAATAACATTGGATGGACCTTTTTAAAGCACTGGGCCAAACACCTAAAATCGAAAAATTCATACGTACTATACCAGTTTTTGATCGGAGAAAGACTAGGTCGTGGCCCGGATGACCCAGCCCTAGATCCACCACTAATCATTAGGATCCAAAACTTGAGTTACGTATTAGAATTAGAATGTAAAGAGAAACCAACAATACAAACATGTAGATTTACATACTTCATTTATAGGATGTGTTAATTAATTCACGAGTAGGAGAGACTAGTCTCTTTATATTTGAGAAAATCCATATTTCAGAGGGATTGCTAATGTATGCCATATCAAAATTAACTAGCATGTTGTTCAGGGCAAACCAACCCGTACTATCATCGAACAATCATGTATAATTTTTTTATATATAATCTTAATTTTTTTATTCGAATGTCAATGTAAAATGAAGTTTTTTTGTCACATTGTTTGTAAAAAATGAGAGAAAATTAACAAGATTTGAGATTTAACATATAATTATAATGTTTTAGGGATATGGATGAACGAAGTGTTAAGTGAATGAGACTAGAATATAGATACAACACATTTTTGGGTGGGTTCGGTGTGGATTCTTAAAATACTAAAATCCCACCAAACCCATTACTCTCTTTATCGGGTTTGATGAAAATCCACCAAAAATAATATGATAGTATCTGTTGAATTTTTCCCTACAAAATCGATTTGAATTCGACGGGATAGATATGAGTTTTTTTGCATAGCAAAGCCAAATCAGCCAATGAATTCCTCTCGAATAATTTTAGCTTTTATGAAATTGGTTTAAAATAGTTAAGCTCGATGGCCCGAGAGAAGTTATGTCTGGGTTCTCATAACAATCGGTTAAGTTATGCAATGAGAAAAGCCCATACTAAGTAGTGGTAGAGTTGGGTTTCATAAGTTCGAAACATGCCAAAAGCCCATAAAAGCTGGTTATATGTGTGGACTTTTTTCTTTTGTAGTAAAAGGAAAGGAGCAAGCCCATCTTACAAAGGCCCATCACAATAATAGTACAATTGCCAAAAACGCAAAAAAATGTGTCCAGAAAGAAGAAAAAAAAAAGAAAAAAGAAAAGGAAAACTTTACTTAGTACTTGCTATTCCCAGCTGCTCAGTGCTCAGTGGCAGGTCTGCTAATTTGTTGCTTCACAGCAAAGATCATCCTTCCTCCCAGGCTCCCACCCTCGTCATGCTTTCACCTCCCGCCATTAATACATCTCCCGATGCTCCAAACTGGACTGCCATGAAAACCCAAATCCGCCAGTGAAAACCCCAAAAAAAAAGAACGGAAGTAGGCAGTTTTAGGCATTCTCCTACCTACTCTTCTTTCAGCTTTTCTTTCATCTCTCACTGCCAACGGGTACTCCCTTGCTTATATCTCTGAACGGTTTAAGGTTCATTTTCTCTTTCAGCAATTTTTTTGTTGTTGAGAGATTTCTGAACTGGGTCAGATCATATGCATTTCTGAAAAAATGGAGAAGGTGATGGATGATTTAAAGCTGGCCGAGGCGAAGCAAGGGAAGTTCCTCAGCTTGATCGACGAGGTTCAGTCAACATCTTCCTCAATCATTTCGATGACCCTTCAACGGAAGGATCTAGACCTGCAGTACGGGTCGATAAGAGAGAGTTTACTTCAGCAGGCGCGAGAACTTGCCTCGCAAGGTACCGAGATGGAGGAAGCTAGGAGAAGGATTGAGATGCGAGAAAATGAGGCTGAGGTTAAGATGGGAACTGCTCTAGGGTTCCTGGGTGAGGTTGCAAAGAGGGAACGGGAACTGGGTTTGTTGAAAGACCAGATTCGGGAGCGTGGCTGGGAGCTTCAGGGGAAAGAGAAGGAGCTAGGGCTGCGACAGAGGGCGTTGAATGAGATAGGCTTGGAAATTCGTGAGAGAGAAAGGGAAAGGGATTCAGTCCTGAAATCTGTCGAGGAAGAGTCCCAGAAGCTTCAGGCGGAAAGGGAAGAGTTGGCTGAGGTAAGGAACTTGATTGTTTTGTGTAATTCAGAATATGAACTGAAAGAAAAGCAGTTGAGAACGGTGGAGAGGGATATGGGGTTTGGGATAAATAGGTTGATACAATGTGAAGAGGAACTCAAGGGTAAACAGAATCTACTGGGCGAGGTAGGAAGGAAGTTGGATGGGCTGAGGGAGGAAGTTTGTGGGAAAGAGAGGGATTTGTGTTCATTGCAGAAATCTTTCAATCAACAATCGAAGGAGCTCGAGTTAAGTCGGAATGTTATACGGAGAGTGGGGAAGTTGTTTCTGAGTTCTAGTTCAGAACTCCAGGAAAAAGAGCAACAGTTGCTTAACGTGAGGAACTTGATTGTGAAGTCTAATGCTGAACATGAATCGAAAGAAAAGCAGCTGACTATGGTGATTAGGGAGCTTCAGGGTAAGGAGGGGGACGTGAGTTTGGCTGAACAGAAGTTGGCAGAATATGTTCTGGAAGTTGAGGGTAAACAGAATGTATTGGGTTCCTTGGAAAGGAAATTGGATGAGTTAAGGGAGGAAGTTTGTAGGAAAGAGGAGGAATTGTGTTCACTGCTGAAGTCTCTTGAGGAACAATCAAAGGAGCTTGAGTTAAGAAAGAAGGAAACAGATGGAGCAATGAATTTACTTCAAGTAAAAGAGAGAGAGTTGGCTTCAGTGAGAAACTTCATTGCAGAATGCAGTGCTGAGCGCCAATTCAAGGAGAATCAGCTGGGTGTGGTTGTAGGGAAACTGCAAGTCGTGGAACATTGTGGAGAGAAGCTCCAAGATGAGAGGAATCCATTGGCTTTTGAGGAGCAGTCGCAAGAGCTCGAGATGAGGCATAATGAAATTGAGACGTTGGCAATCTCACCTCCGAGCACTATTTCTGAGCTCCAGGGGGAAGAAAAACAGTTGATTAAGGCAAGGAACTTGATTGGCCAGTATACTGTTGAATGTGAACTGAAAGAAGAGCAGTTGTGTATGGTGGATAGAGTGATTCAAGATAATGAGAGGGACATGGGTTCTGTGCAACAGAGGCTTGAAGAATGTAGAGAGGAACTTGTGGGTAAAGAGAGGCTATTAGGTTGCTTGCAGAATTATATGACAGAAAAGTCAAATGAGGTTGAATTACTGCAGAATAAAATGAAGAGAAAGACGAATTTGCTCTCGAATTCTAGTTCTGAGCTCCAGCAAAAAGAGAGAGAATTAGCCGAGGCAAGGAACTCTATCACAGTATGCAATGCTGAGTGCGAATTGGAAGAGAAGCAGCTGGGTGTGGTAGTTGGTAAGCTTCAGGTTAAGGAGAAAGTAACGTGTTCCACTCAACATAATTTGGAAGAATGTGCACAGGAGCTTGAGACTAAACAGAAGCCATTAGGTTCCATACAAAGTACAGTGGATTGGCTCAGGGAGAAGGTTCGTGTGAAAAGGGAAGAATTGGATTCTTTGCAGAAGTCTTTAGATGAGCAGAGAAACAAAAAGCAAGCTGGAACTACAGATGGTAAGCTCTACTCTTTGGATGTATCCTTTTCATGCATATCCTAGATTATTATCATTCTTTGATGTGAAAGTGAATATTTAGTTTCCCTTGGTTCTCAAATATGCAAGTATATATTCTCCATATTCAAGCTTTCTGACACACATTCGTGATGTTTACTTTTCATCTGAAGGAGCCCTTCCATGTGAAAGAAATCCAGATTCCCCCCTAGATGGGCCATCACCGTCTTATTTGACCGATAGTGAGGTCTCTACTGCAATTCGGCAGTCATCAGACCCAGCAAGGATGATCATCGACCAGATGAAAGAGTCAATTTTCCAAACTAATACCAAGAATTACAACCAAACTGTAGTAAGGAATCACATTGTTATGCTGGAGCAGCTGATGGGAGTCTCACCAAAGGTAAGTCCTGAGGTTGAAGAAGCAGCAACCAGTCTGGCTATTGCTTGGAGGGGTAATTTAAGACAGGCGGCTCATGGTACAGTGGATGTTTTGGCATTCCTCTTGTTTTTTGCTGCATTTGGAGTTGGCTCTCGTTTTGAAGGAGAAGATACGTTGAAATTTGTCGAGATGGTTGCTCACCATGAAAGGGCTCCTGAGTTATGCCGTTCCCTTGGACTTTCAAAGTGGATACCTGGTATTGTTTTCATGCTTTTATTTTTCTTCACAGTAGAACCATTCAATTTATGTTGCTCATCTTACTGTATATGGACAATGGATCCCTGATATGCTTTCACAGAAAATTAAACTCTTTCTCCTCATGTTTCTTTTTCCTTTCTTCTCCACTTAGTTACTGCTCAAAGAAAAGACCCACCTTGCACTATGTTCATGTGGCAGATACCCCATTTTTTAGTTTTTGCCAAAAGCTGTGTTATTTTGCCACCATCTCACAAGATTTGCCTAATTTGAGTTCTCACTGTCAATTTCGCCCCTTCCTTTTAGGACTTATCCAGAGACTGAGTGAGAAGGACATGCATATGGAGGCCATTAGATTCATTTTGGTATTCAAGCTAGCTGAAAACTTCCCACCAAACCAGTTCCTCTTGAGCCACTTGGAGAAGACAAGGATCTTTGAAGATGGGAATGACTTACTTGAGTCGCAGGTAACTAAACACATCTCTTTCATTCTTTCCTTGTAAAATAATCTTCTCCCTGCGAAGACCCGAAATCAGAAACTTCGTAAAACTCTTTCCGTTCTGCAGTTCCAGGCCCTGAACAAGCATCTTGACTCCTTAAAAGCTATTTCACAACAAGTGTCCGGATTAGGGCTGGATCCGAGTTTCTTGAACCAGAAGATCATCGACCATCTCCAAGAACTGGAGACTCGAGTTGGACGCAAAAGAAGTTGCTTGATAGCAACTGGTCTTATTATACAGACGCCAAGGTATGCTGGTGCAACTGTTTCTGGCAACAAATGGCCATTGCTGCAGCTGGGAATTTCGGCAGAAGAAGGACAAAGAAAGAAGCGGCAGAAGAAGAGCTAGAAAGAGAGTGGGTATGTATGAATGCATGCCTGGTGTGACAGTGAGTAGATGTGATAGATTGTAGCTGACATATTGTTGTCAAGGAACTTCTCTATTTAGCATTTAGGCACAGGCGGGCATAGCTAGCTCTAGTTGGAAATATGGAATATGAGCTCATTATATAGGTCAAAATCATTATCTGGTAACCATCTTGTTGGATACATTTATTCTTCTTCTTTTATTTATTTACCAAAGACTATGATGAGTTTAGCAACCAATGCCAAATCTAGGCAAGTAATGAATGAACAAACATACTAGTCGGTCATCCCAACTATTCTATGTGGTCGATAAGGTGCGCGTATTAAATACCAATTAAGACGTCATGTTGGGGAGTTAGATGTACAAGGAAAGTTTAGGGATTTAGTTATTTCATATGTGAATTCAATGCTAAATGTATCAGTATAGGAGAATTGAGTGACTATGTTGATAATTAACCCCCCTTCATCAATAAGGTAACAAAAGTCAATGTCCAACCCTTCAATTTCTGTTTTGTATAAGGAAAAGGTGCACTACTCACACGTGGTCGTCAGTCAACTATCGCTAACGTTTGAAAGTTCCTAATCAAAAGGAAATTGTTTCTCAACTTTTATGGTTTACTATTAGATAGTTCAAATCAATATTTTACTGTGTAGTTGATACACTTGACTTGAGAGTATTATTTTCCAAAACCTAAACTTACATTAGGATTACGAGATAGCAATACAAATTTAATATTCCTTAGTAAGGTTAAAAAATGCGGGCGTTTAGACTTTGTCTAAGCATTGGAAGCAAAATAACAATTTGTACTATATGATGAATGAAATAATAATTTATAACATGTTCCCACTTTATTAATAATTTACGTAACACCTAACCAAAATACGCCCACAAGTTCATAGAGAATCATATCTCAATATTTCACGGTTATTGAGATATTGAAAAGACTGAGATAGAAGATTGATTAACTCTAGTATCAACTACGAACTGATAAAAGAAAATCGATAAGAAAAAATCGAAAACCTGAGATACACATGCAAGAAAGAAAACTATTTAGAAATTTAAATAGAGAAAATTATAGTTTAATATCAACATAACCATGAAATCCTTCTATCTTTTCTAACATCAAACTTTTAGGGGTCGTTTGGTTTTGGTGATGATAGTTTGGTTGAGATAGTTACAATGCATGCAATGTCCACATTGCATCGTGTTTTTGAATTTTCTGTGCAAACAATACATGCATTATTTGCTTGATTTGACACAAACTATCACTCAAAATGAGTGATAGTTAAATCTCAAGTTTTCGTTGAGATTGTTTGATGGAGATTGTTGTGTTTTCTTCTTCTTCTTCCAAATATGTCCCTACCTTTTTATGTGTGTTGCTTTTTTATATTAAAAACAAAGGGTAAAAGTGATATTTCACCCAAAAAGTGATATAATTTATTTAAATACTACAATAACTATCACAGAAACCAAACAATGTAAACTGCAATACACCAATTTTCTTATATACATGTATATTATTATGCATGCATTGATGACAATACATCGCTTTAACTATCACCAATAAAATAGGGTTTGTGGATTATCAATTTTCTTATATATATATGTATATTATTATGCATGCATTGACGACACTACATCAATTTAACCATCACCAATAAAATAGGGTTTGTGGATTATCATTTACATATAGGTGTTAGAAGGAATATTCTTCTGAGATGGTGAACTATGGGAATGCGATTGCCATTTAGCTATCTTGCTTCCTTTGACCACCATAATTAAACAAAAAAAAACTGAAAATTGGTTAAACACTCAACAAACTCGTTCCTTTCACCAAATTTTTCAATCCTTACTATAGAAAATTTGTAGAAGAGGTTGTATTGAAAAAGTAAAAGATAAGATACGTTATATTAAAATTATGATTTAATTTTGATTAAACCGTTTCATACAATTATATATCAATTACCGTTTTCGTTTCCGGTAAATTTTTTTTATGATCAACCATCAATACAATAATATTTTTCAATCCTATTTAATACTAAATTAATAATAATTTTCATCTCCCACTCACCATTGTCAAAATTTCAAGCTCCTAGCCAAAACCATTTCCTTTTTCCAGTTTCCTCTCCTGACCTCTATCTTCCCTCGCCCAAACATTCACAGGAAGAGGGATTTCATTTCGACTCTCGAGCAATCCCAGTGGCTGGTTGGCTTGCTTGCCCTCTCGGAAGATTTTTTGCTTTGGCTTGAATTCTTTTTCCTAGCTAGTTGCTCATTAATAAAGTCGTCCAAGTCTTGTTTGGGGTACTTACTGGGTCAACGTGGAGGAGGTAGATGTTTCAACTTCAACTTTGATCGTTTCCTTTTCTCTCGTTTTCTGGGCTTCTCTCATCTCTGGCTGAATCTTCGGCGAGGAAGTAAAGTTCTCCCCTTCCGCGCCTTGGAGAAAGTATGATCGAATTGGAGCTCTTGTAACTCGGAGGGACGAAGGAAGGAAACGCGGCAATAATGGAGTGGCCGGTTGGGGCGATCTGGCACTCCGGGTTTTATTGCTTAATTTTGCTCCTCCACTTCGCTTACAGAGTTGCCTCCAACGCTGAAGGTCAGATTCGATTCATTTGTTTGGTTTCCTTATCTGATGATTCTCCCGTCGTCCAGTTCAGGTTTCCAATTAAGTTCGCCGGAGTTGACTGGTTGACTCGAATTGAATCGCAGTTAATAGTGGCAAAAAATTCCATAGTATTAAACTGGGAATGATGGGGGAACTGTTACTAAAATTAGATGGTAGAATGGAAAAAAGTTGCTACCTTTTGTTGGGAATTTGAAATGGGCATTCCTCTTTTTGGCTATTGCTGTTTGGGATTGTTGAAGATTGAACCTGAACTCCTCTAGTCTAGTAGTTATTGATTTATGCGGATAAGGGGTTTTTGGTCTGCTGATACCGTGTTTGATGTGTAACACAGGTGATGCCTTGAATGCATTGAAGACAAATTTGGCTGATCCAAATAACGTTCTGCAAAGTTGGGATCCTACCCTTGTCAATCCTTGTACTTGGTTTCATGTCACCTGTAACAGCGAGAATAGTGTGACACGAGTGTAAGTGTAGTTATTAATAGTTGTCCGCATTCAGTTATGTGTTCCTTTAATTGCAGATCTCTCATGGTCCCGGCTCTCATGTGCTTCTATTTGTGTTGTCTCAGTGATCTTGGAAACGCGAATCTATCAGGTCAACTGGTTACCCAGCTTGGTCAGCTTCCAAACTTGCAGTACTTGTGAGTAATTTTCTGTGTCCATGCTCATAGCTGTTTGGGATTTATTGTTGAGTTTTGAAGAAGATAATACTATACATTGGAGTGATTTTTTTTCTGCTTGGTTAGTTTATCAACTAGGTTCTTAAAGCGCTCCAACTAATGTATGTTACCTTCTTTGGAAAGCATTTGCATTTCTTTGCTAGAAATTGAACCAGGAAGATATGGTTCACTGTGAAAGATGCTTTTCTATTAGTACCTGTCAGCAATGGTTCATAAGAGATCAATAGGCTGCCTTTCTTCCTTCTGTTTCTTTTGGCTATAACCAGAAATAATGCGGATCTGGAGCATGAAATATTGTTAGAAGGTTGCTTTCTGTAAAATGGATATTCTGTCCTTTTTGAATGGAAATTTCACATCATTCTCCTATTTTTAAGTAGGCAACTACGTTTCTCTGTGGCTTTTCTTTTTTTTTTTCTTCTTCTTCTTCTTCTTCTTCCCAAAGATGCACTTTTTACCTGTGCTTGACTCTTTTTCACTTAGTATGCTGCCCCTTCTGGCTTGATGTATGGAAATAATTCTTTGTTGCAGGGAGCTTTACAGTAATAATTTAAGCGGCAGGATCCCAGATGAGCTTGGAAATTTGACGGCATTGGTGAGCTTGGATCTTTACTTGAACAACTTGACTGGTCCAATTCCAGTGACTCTGGGGAAGCTTGAAAAACTCCGTTTCCTGTATGCACTGATCCTTTCAACTACTTCTCGATCACATTGTTTAAACTCCTGTTGTATATTCTTCAATCTTCATTCACATGAGTTTTTTTTGGGTGTCTTCTAGAGGTTTGTTCTGTTGGTTAGATGGAGGATACTTGACAAGCACATGTCCTACCTTCTATTTAACATAGATAATCTTCATTATAAAGCGATCAATCCTAGTTTTCATGATGCTCTAATGGATGCTTGATTTATCCGTGTGGAATTTGAGAGGGAAATGACAGTTAGTTGTTGCTGTCTATTTCCTGCTATTGATACTGAGTAATGTAACAGATATGACTTGGTGTTATTTAGTTTTGATGGTCAAAGGTGGTTTATCTGGTCGTCATTTTGGTCTTCCAAGCCTATGTTTCAGTGCTGTATGAGCTGTCTGCTCATTGCTCTAGAACATAAGCATGTGTAACCATGATGCTTCTTTTTCTGTGAAACAGGCGTCTCAACAACAATACATTATCAGGAACTATCCCTATGACTCTAACTAAAGTCATGTCCTTACAAGTCCTGTAAGTTTGCCATGCCTTTGTGATTGCCTGCAGCTGTTCTATCTCAGATTATGATAACCTGCACTTTCATGTCCAATGCAGGGATCTCTCAAACAATCAACTAACAGGAGATATTCCTGTTAATGGTTCTTTCTCTCTATTTACTCCTATAAGGTTAGCTTTGTTGGGTGCCATCGATATTTGTAGCATGTATACCTACTAAATGGCTCACTAACTATTCTGTTTCTTTGTAGTTTTGCTAATAATCGACTGAATGTACCTCCAGCTTCTCCACCACCTCCTCTTCCACCATCAGCACCCACTGCTTCTAATGGTACTTTGTGATATTGAGTCTTTTGGTTGCTTGAATTTGGTTATATATGTTTATTGTTTTGTATGGATGCTGATAGTTTTTCTCATTTGATTTTTTTAAGTGGTGAGAAAAAGTCCATGCCTATAAGCTAATTTGTTTGCCAAATTTATTTATGGACTTTAATGTTTGTTTAGATTAAAGCCATGGAGGACAAATGAAGTTGTACAGATTAAGCGATATAGGCCTAACTATTTTGTTTTTTTATTAAACTTTATAGCCAGATTTGTTCCAAAGACGTGCTGTCAGATTTGCGCTTGTTATGTGAAGTGGATATTAAGAGAATTTAGCTGATACAGAAAAGACAAGCAATTATTCTACTAAGGAATAAACATATTACTGTCCCATTTCTACTTCTAACCTTAAATCATCTCAACACCGAAAAGATGTTAAGAGGAATCCAAGTGATCAGTAGAATCAAACATTCACCTAGGAATGTGCATAGTCTTCTCTTTCAGCTACTGCAAACCTTGCGGTCCTTAAAACATGGTAGCCCACCAACAAACTTACGGTAGCCTGTTGAATGCAACGAGATAACTTGATTCATTTAGTTGAAGACTATCACATGAGACACCTCTTTTTGGGGTTCCAGCAGTGTGCCTGGTAACCTCGTGCATATGAAAGAGTGTTGCATCCTATCAACCTGGTAGTAGTTTGTGTGTTGTCGTATGAATCCCTGATTTGTTTCGTTCAATGAATACATTCTTGTAGGATAAATGTTTTATTCTTTGGGTAATCCGTTGCCTTCGGCGATTATGAGCAGGAAACAGTGCTACTGGAGCTATTGCTGGGGGAGTTGCTGCAGGTGCTGCTCTGTTGTTTGCTGCTCCTGCAATTGCCCTTGCTTATTGGCGGCGAAGAAAACCACAAGATCTTTTCTTTGATGTGCCTGGTTAGTGCTTGTCCGTAAGGCTGTAGCCTCTTTCATTACTCCTGTATGTAGGGAGGCTTCCAACTTTATCTTGCTTCTCTCTTTGCAGCTGAAGAAGATCCAGAAGTCCATCTTGGACAGCTTAAAAGGTTCTCTTTGCGTGAACTGCAAGTTGCATCAGATAATTTTAGCAACAAAAACATCTTGGGCAGGGGTGGGTTTGGCAAGGTGTATAAAGGACGCCTGGCTGATGGTACTCTAGTAGCTGTGAAGAGATTGAAGGAGGAGCGTACACAAGGTGGCGAGCTTCAATTCCAGACAGAAGTAGAAATGATCAGCATGGCTGTCCATCGCAACTTGCTTCGGCTACGTGGCTTCTGTATGACACCAACTGAAAGACTACTCGTGTATCCGTATATGGCTAATGGAAGTGTAGCATCATGTTTGAGAGGTAAACTGGTTTGACACTGTCTGTTTTGCCTTATCCGCACCAATTGCCTCTCACCTTCCTCTCTAACTCCAGAGTTTTTTATATTGACCTTGAGGGGGTTGTCTTTGGGTGTGACAACGGCTATGTTTACCCTGGCCGTATTTTTTTTTTTAACATGAGAATCCCATACATGATTTCATCTATTCCATTTGAGGGGAATAACTGATGAGCCCATTGAAATGATTTGCTTTCACTATAAAGTCTGTTGTTCTATAATTTGGGGACTTGAATCTTTGTCTTGTTGATGGTTGTTTGCTTTTGACTCAACTTGTGCATTATATTAGAGCGTGCGGATTCACAGTCTCCTCTCAACTGGCCAATAAGGAGGCGAATTGCACTAGGTTCCGCTCGCGGGCTGGCTTATTTGCATGATCATTGTGATCCTAAGATCATCCATCGAGATGTGAAGGCTGCAAATATATTGTTGGATGAGGAATTTGAAGCAGTAGTTGGAGACTTTGGGTTGGCTAAACTCATGGACTACAAGGATACTCATGTCACCACTGCTGTACGTGGCACTATTGGGCACATAGCCCCCGAGTACCTATCAACTGGCAAATCATCTGAGAAGACTGACGTTTTTGGATACGGTGTCATGCTTCTTGAGCTCATCACTGGACAAAGAGCTTTTGATCTTGCTCGGCTTGCAAATGATGATGATGTCATGTTACTTGATTGGGTAGGTATCCAAACATTGTCATCTATGTCTTTTGGCACCAGTTTGTGGTTACACGTCCTATTTAGCTGGGGTTGCTTCTTGTACCGTATCCATATGTCATTGGCTAGGTTCTCAATCCTATGGTAATGTAATTTCCGGAATATGTATTTGTCAGGTGAAAGGGTTACTCAAGGACAAGAAGTTAGAGACATTAGTGGATGGCGATCTACAAGGTAACTACATTGACGAGGAGGTAGAACAATTGATCCAAGTGGCTCTCCTATGCACGCAGAGCTCTCCCATGGAACGTCCGAAAATGTCAGAGGTCGTTCGAATGCTTGAAGGCGATGGCTTGGCTGAGAGATGGGAAGAGTGGCAGAAAGAAGAGATGTTCAGGCAAGACTATAACCACACCCACCATCCCAACAGCAACTGGATTGTGGATTCTACGTCTCATATTCCTCCAGACGAACTGTCAGGTCCCAGATGATAATGATGGTAACCATGAAAATCCATTGCATACTCTTTATCCTTCTACCTTGGAGGCCTGTCTAGTGTCTGAAAGTCGGCTTTTTTCCATTTTTGTTTGGTTTCACACATTTGTGAATATAGTTTTTTCTTTTCGGTTGTCCATGTTTAGTCTATATCCCATATATTTGGATTGGAGCTGGGAGCTGCTTGAAGTGCTGTAATATTTTTTTACATAGGGGGGCAGGACCTTAAAATGATGAAACTGGTGCTAGTGAACAAGGCTGACAAAACAGCCATGGAAGCACCCCCTTAGCCCACAGCCTTCTTAAATGTAATTCAGAACCCCAAGTCATTGTTGTAGATCTTTCTTTGCCTGAATCATAAGATAATATTTTTACCGTGAGTTCTGTGAAGCATGAGCAATAATATTTCTGAATTTCCAGGTTCTGCAAATTTTTTTTTTTGTTTCTAAATTGCTGCAACAGGCTGGTTGGAGTTTTGATAGGTGATGTTTACATTAAGGTACCAATCCCCAATATGTCATACAATAACTGGTAACTAACATCTGTATCAGGATTATCTATACGATAAATTCTTAGAGAAGAGAAGTATACTCTGTCGAACAAGGTGATTAGCAACGAAATTGTCAGGCGATAGCAATCAAGTGAAGCATTAGCGACAGACCAGTGAGAATCTGTCTATACACAGAATTAATTTCCAGAAACACATCCTTATAACCATTGCTTGTCAAAGGTACACTACACCATAAGTTTATAAACATGGTGGTCCTTTGAACAGTTCTCATTACTGAATGATAAATGGGAAGGAAAAAGGGCGCCATGGCTGGTTGAATGTGTCCAGATGGACCCGACCTTTAGGAAGGCTACATATTCCTTGTTCTTGTTCTTGTTATTGTGAGAAAGAGATATCAAATATCAATGGATCTCTGATAAGTATTTATGAAGAGAAAGTGACCTTTTGGAAGAAATGAAAGGTAAATTATCTTTACCAGTCAAACTACATTGATACCCATAAACTAGCAAACTACTGATCACGACCACACCAAACACAATTCTGTTTTTCTTGGTCGAAAGCACCAAATCTATTTATTATCTTACCAGAAAGGTTGCTGGATGTATCTGCAGAACTAGACTGATAGACTGAGGAATTGAGATTAAAGACTACTAGTCTACTACTGCCTCTGCTCAGTCTGTCTCATTTTACTTCTATATGTACTGATCATCACAACCCTCAAAACCTTATTGCTAGCTAGCAAACAAGCTACCCTCTGCCATCACCAACAGACCAGGGGGAAAAGGAAAGGAGAAAGCCATAAAAAGGAGGGAAATATTGAGGGTAATGCAGATAATAATGACATCTTTTCTACTTAGACCGAGAAGACATACTTAAACTTTTAGATGATGTCTTGTGTTTGTTCTTCGTCACATAGACTTTTACGATAGTAAAATATTAACTCGATCAAAATAACAAGCGAGTCAAGACACACAACCTTCGTTATCAAACCACATCCACAACGAATATCCAACATATTTCAGTAACAATATTTGCACTTCACCAAATCTAATTTGTAAAATTACCCAATTTGGATTTGAGTGAGTTTAATAATTAACTAGTGTTAGTGGGTGGGTTCTATATTGTAAAACCTCATTTCCTTTCCCCCTCTCTGCAGATTGATCCTCCATAATCAGTCCATCACAAGATCACATTGTCTCCAACGTCTCTTGTCTGGTCAGTTGTCAGGTACACAATACATATCCTCGTCATGACTCTCTCTTTTGCCCTTTTGCTTCCTTTCCTCCCTATTATTTAAACGTAGCAGCACACCCACCCTCCATACTACTACTAGATACTCTGCTGCTCTCACCCATTTCACCTTCATTCATTCTCTCCTCGCCACCATGAACGACAGAACCACAGCAATAAGCAGCAGCACCATAGTGAGCAAGAAGAAGAAGAAGATGACCATGAAGAAGGCCAACAACAAGATGATGAAGGGCTTCATGTGTCAGAACACTGCTCCTGCTAAAACAGTCATATCCCCTGCTGCATTGTTTGTCTGTGGCGCCAACGATCTCCCTCTTACTTCCGCCATTGTTCCAGCTGCCACCAGGCCGCGGCTGCTTCTCCAGAAGTACAACATAGTCAGCTCCTCCACGGCCGCCAATTTTAACTACTCCAGGTTGCAGCAGCAGAAGCAGGTTGAGGCAGGGGATCCCCTGAAGCTGTTGAAGAAACCCAACATTGTAGTCGATGACGACGAAGATGGTAGCAAAATCATCCGCCACTCCTTCCAGGTTTCAGTGATTGTCATTATATGCTTATTATAGTCCTGCTGCTAACGTTATTGTCTGTCTGTAGCTTATTTTACTTGAATGGTTTGGTGCTGTTATGTTTGTTTAATTTATTGAGAAGAAAGGGTTCTGAATCTGATGGGAATAATTTGGTGATGGGGAGGAGAGGGGAATATACTCAGCATTTTGTCCCATTAATGTTTTGATCACATGTGAGGCGAATCTTTCATCTGCACTATCGCGAAACTGTATGTTCCGTGATCTAGTGTGATTTGGCTCGACTGCTGAACGAGATAACGTTACATTCGTAGTTAGTATATTTGTGACGGGTATGTATAGATGTTTTTAATCCGTTTCGTGTATGTATACCGTATCATCGTACATCGTACATTACTTAATTAGCAGGACAATCAAATATCAACGTTAATCAATTGATGCATTTTGTTTTGCAACGTGTTAGTGGGATTAATGGGGAAAACATGGCATGGCAATTGGCAGGTGGTTGTAATGAGAGTTTCACTTCATTGCCAAGGTTGTGCTGGACAAGTCAAGAGGCATATTTCCAAGATGGAAGGTACTTACATGAAGCTAATTATCATTGGCAGCTGATATCATTTAGATTAATCTTGGTGGTTAAGCTTGATCATAATAATGTATTATTCTTTATTGGATATTATGATGCAGGAGTGACATCATTCAGCATAGATCTAGAGGAACAGAAGGTGACAGTGATGGGCCATGTTTCACCACTTGTGGTTGTGCAGAGCATTTCCAAGGTGAAGAGAGCTGAGCTTTGGCCCACTTCTCCTTCTTCTTCTTCCTCTGATGTCTAATTAATGGAACACCAGAAGAAGAAGAAGAATTGAAGTCAGTAGAGAGAGAGAGAGAGAGAGAGAGAGAGAGAGAGGGTAGTATATGTATGTCAGTTGGCCATTTTCCATGTCTGGAAATGGGGATTGGGAATTACCAATGTACTCTACTTGCAGATATCTCTATCAGTTACTTACTGCTGTTACTTCCATGCATCTGCATGAGCATGAGGCTGTGTAGTGGCCTTATTTATTAGGTTACCTTCCCTTTGGGTGTGGGGCAAATTCTTTGCCTCTTGCTCTTATTAGTGTCAGTATTAAATGGTGTGGTCCTTATGAGTTCAGGACTCAGGACCTTCCCTCTCTATCTAAACTCTTAGTTTGCAATGGTAAGAAAAGTAAAGAGAGATCATGTGGGTTGGTAATATTTTGCTGTGATGCATGATGGAATGTGATATGTGCTCCAAAAGGGTAGAAAGTATAGTATATCCAAATGACTGGCCATTTGCCCACCCATGTTTCTTCTTCAAATAGCATATAGATTGTTTCTAGGTTGATTTAACATTTTTTAAGGAGAGCTAATGTTCATTGTATATGATCCAACTTCATTGATATTATTGCAACGTGGTTATATTGTTGGTTGAAATCGTGATATAGGTGCCACTTGACAACATCGAAGCTCGTGTCGACGATTATTTTTAGTCTAGAAATCGAAAAGGTAATAAAAAAGTATCGCTCTTAGCAAAGTCCATTTAGAAGTAAAGGATTGGAAAATTTCTTATTATCTTGGTAATTAGGGTGATTGTGTTTGAAATTTGAATGTGTCTCTTGTCGGACAAAACCCCTCTATGTTGTCACCTATACCGAAGATTTGAGCCTTCTCCACTTAATAAAATTGCAAAACTAACGCCATCTTTTATTCGCCTAGACATGAAAGCGATTGATAAATTGAGAGCAGTTGAATCAACAAAGTGGGAGTCGGTGATATCACAATTTCTTGAATCGATCAAAATATTATCGGATATAATTATTTTTATTTCTCTAAATGAACTTAATAGATATTAAATATAGTATAGATAAGCTCCCATTGATATTAATTTTGTTGACAATTGGCTAGCTTCCATTAATTAATAATTTCAACAAAAGTTTGATAAGGCCAACTCCAGTCTCCATTATGTGCCCCTTTGGCCTGTTCTGTCCACCTGGGCCTGGCTACGTACGTTCTATCTCGAGAAGCTTTTTCCGGCTTTCACTTTCCCCATCTCCAATTCTCAATTTGTCGCCAAAAAGTTCCTTCCCTTTTCAATCCCTCGTTTCCTTCCCACTTATTTTCCTTCGGATTTAAAGATGTGAAATTTTCCTGCGACGACTTTGCTCCGATCCCAATTCACCTCTCATCTAATCAGGTATGAAAACCCCTCCTACTCCTTCGTCAACTTGATCAGTCGGTTGTTGATTTGAGTATGTGGTTGAATTTCGATTGATACCCAGTTGTTGTGCTCTTACTCTGTTACTTCTTTTCTCTTTCTGGGTTACTTTACTTCGTTGATTCCTGGCGTGATATTCGCTTTGTTGTAGTTGACTGACTGCACCCTGCTGGATTGCTCTGTTTATGCTCCAAATATTTTCCCTTTGCAGTTGAAATTTCTTATCTGGGTCTTTTTAAATTTTGGGTCTTTGTTTAATTTCATGGAAATTGTCTTAGAAAGATCAAAGTTTGTGACTAGGCAGCTGCTTTTGGATGCGAATTTGGGGTAGTATATAGTTCCAATTGAAATGATCCACCATGCTTCATTTCAACATGCTTCTGTGTACTAGTTATCTACTTATCATCTCTGAGTAACTGACTGTTCAGATTTGGCTTGTGAATTGTGTTTGCTTGTTGCATATGAGCTCAGGTAACCAGTGGACCTTGGCCAGCCAATCTCTTCTGCTCTGGAAAAATTGGCGATGGGCGCAATTTTGAGCTCAAATGGATCTGGCTCCAGTTCAGGAGCTAATAACACTTTTGATACGTCGCCCTGCAACGAGCCTTGTAAGAGACAACGGGTTTCAGCAAATTCTTTTGAAGGATACCCACGATTAATTCCCAGTATTCCTGACGAGATATCAGTAGAGATCCTTGCCAGGGTTCCCAGAATTCATTACTTAAAAATGAAGCAAGTGTCACGATCATGGAAGTCGGTCGTCCTTGATTCTCAACTCTTCAGTGTCAGAAAGCAGCTTGGAAAGACGGAAGAGTGGCTTTACATTCTGACGAAGGTTGAAGACGATAAGCTTCTCTGGTATGGATTGGACCCGCTGAACAAGATATGGCAGAGGCTGCCATCAATCCCCTGTGCTGCTTACGGCGATGAAGCCAAGAAGGGCTATGTGGGTCTTCGTGTGTGGAATATGGTAGGCTCGGGTATGAAAGTTGCTGATGTGGTGAGAAGCTGGCTTGGAAGGAAAGGTGCCCCTGAAAGAATGCCGTTCTGCGGTTGTGCTGTTGGAGCTGTAGATGGTTGCCTCTATGTCCTAGGTGGGTTTTCCAAAGGTTCAGCCATGAGATGTGTGTGGAAGTATGATCCGATACTAAATGCATGGACCGAGGTCAGCTCCATGACTACTGATAGAGCATACTGTAAGACAAGTGTCTTGAACAATAAGCTCTATGTTATTGGAGGAGTTAATGGAGGTCGCGATGGGTTGATGCCACTTCAATCTGCTGAGGTCTTTGATCCCGAGACTGGTTTATGGACCAAACTCCCAAGCATGCCTTTCATGAAAGCTCAGACGATTCCCACAGCATTTCTAGCCGATCTCCTCAAGCCTATAGCAACAGGAGTGACTTCATACCGTGGGAAACTGTACGTGGCTCAGAGTTTGTACTGCTGGCCATTTGTTGTTGATGTTGGTGGAGAGGTGTATGACCCAGAGACGAATGCATGGGTCGAAATGCCATCTGGTATGGGTGATGGTTGGCCTCCAAGGCAAGCCGGGAGGAAACTGAGCGTCACGATTGAAGGAGAGTTGTATGCTCTTGATCCATCGGGTTCGGTTGATGGTCCCAGTACCCGAATCCAGGTATATGACTACCATGAAGATGCTTGGAAGGTTGTCCTTAGAGACGTGCCTATTTGCACCCATGCCGATTCAGAATCCCACCATTTGCTCACTGGGTTGCTTGGCAAGCTCCATGTGGTCACCAAAGATGCAGGTGCCAACATTGCTGTTCTGCAAGCCGGCATGCAGAACTGTGGGGAGGATTCTCTGGGCTCAGAGTTGGCGCCAGAAACAGATAACTGGCGGGTCATTGCTTCCAGAAATGCTGGTTCTTCCGAACTGGTTAACTGTGTGACTCTTGATCTCTGATGCGTTCTGTGCGGCCCTTAAAAAGGTTTCATCCTCCATTTTCTCTTGAGCGAGCCATATGTATACATAAATCAAATGTCACCTGTTTTAATCTTGTGCTTGTCAAGTTCACAAGTTATACTGAAGTTATACCGTGTCTTGTGGTTTTTTTGCTACCAGATTTTTACTCTCAATCAGGTTCACCATATTCGAGCTAATTCCAAACTTGGCATATGGCACCACTTTTCTGCTACCAAGTTCGGATCAACCCGCGGATTGACAACCATGGAAGTAACTAGCCACATCAATTGGTCGACCCTTCGTAAATCGATTTTCTCGATACAATGAACCAATAAATGCCTCGCGGACCGCCTTCTCGTCTTCCCTCCCCATTAAAACGCCACCATAAATACATCCACCTTGCTCGCCTAACTCCATCTTCAATTTCCCATTCACAATGGCAGCTAATAAAGCTAGTAGCGGGCAAGAATCTGTCAACAACATATGTGTGAAGGCAACCGTTAACAGGAACAAGAAATCGGTCGTCTTCGTCGAAGCCGACGCTGACCTTGCCGACGTCCTGTTTGGCTACCTCACGCTGCCCATGGCCACCGTCATCAGCCTCATCTCCCGCAAGCAGCCGCCGGCGGTAACGCTAGGCTGCTTCGGCAACTTGTACCGCAGCGTCGAGGTTCTGGAGCCTCAGCACTTCAGAACCCGGAAGTGCAAAGAAATGCTTCTCCGCCCTCGTAACGGCGCCGACGCCTACTGCCAGTACCTGAAAATAAACGTCGAGAAATGTGACGAGCAGCAGCAGCAGCCGCCCTACGGCCTCTTTCGTTGCGATCCGCCGTCGCGAGCTGGTAGTAAGTCGAGCTCCTCTGCCTGTCGTGATCATAGCACGACGAATCCGTGCTTGAGCTACGACAAAACGGATGTTTGCCGGTACGGGAAGAAGATGACTCTTCGGGTTCCTTTCCTCTGTCGCGACGTAGAGGAAAAGGGTCTGTTCGTGAAGCGGCTCAGTAGGCTCGTAATTAGCGACGATCTAAGAGTGAAACCTGCGACCACCGCAGCGACCGTTTCGCTGCTCTCCGAGCGTGGCGTCTCTGATGCAACTCAGGTTGAGGAGCTGACCTTCGATTTCGGCATCAATGAGGTAATTGGTGTTTGCGTGCTTAACTAAATTCTCAGCTCATGATTCGTGCCTAAAAAATGTGGGTTTAAACTTATGTTCGGTAAACATCAGAATGTTTTGCCGTAAGTTAGGAATTAAGAACGTGACAGTGGAGTATTGCGACTTCTAGATGTGTAATTAGGAAAGCTAAGTTGTTAAAAAGTTGAACATTATCTACAAACACAACCATTTATTCAGCTCTTGATAGACAAGATCCTCAGAGCACCCATCTTATGTCTAGCGCCTTTTTGAATCTTGATTTATCCATAAATTTGACTCTTCCATCTGCGTTTTAAGTTTCAACATAGCGAGTGTCCTCGAACAATTGTGTAGGCATTGGATTTGTTGAAGCTGGCTTTGGTGTCTAAGACGCCTCTCTCTGACGTTCTTCTCAACACCAAAGTAGCCAAAAAGGAGTTGAGCAGTAAAGCCAACTTCTTGGGCGGCTTTGATCATCGCTGTCACCGAGCGGTTGTCAAACAAGTAGAAGATGCACACCAAGTTGCACCAAAAGACAGTGCGGCAGCTTTCTTGCCAAAAAAAGTTAGTACAGCTGCCCGTATCAAGCTTGTGTACAGCAAGACCAAGAACAGAGTCCTGTATGCGGAAGCCGGTGAGGATTTTGTCGACCTGATCTTCACCTTTCTCCTCGTTCCCCTCGGCCACATGTTCAAGCAAATGCAAGACGTCGTCGACGGCTTGACGGACGTAATTCCTTCCGAAGGTTGCATGAAGAACTTGTACAAGAGCGTGCAGGATCTTGTGGCAGAGGGATGCATCGTTGGTGACAAAGATGATGGACGTGCACCGGTCTTGCTGCGTCCTCTGCTCGCTGCCCGTTATGGCTACCTAGATCATCCTCTAGGCCTTAAAGAAGTCGAGTATGTTTTCGTTAATGATAAGAGTGCTTCTTCTTCTTCTTCTTCTTCTTCTTCTGCTGCTGCTGCTGCTGCTTGTCCCGTGGAAGGCAGGGGAAGGACGGCAGGACACATCTGGTCCACAATTAGCTGCGTAATCAAAGACCCTAAATTGCCTGCGACGGTGCGGCCAGAGGATCCTGCTACTTGGAAGGATTTATCAAGAGCCGCGGGTTACGTGTCGCCTTCAATGTACACCGTCACCGACGATCTGAACGTATCGCCGATCTCCCCTGCCTCGAACCTGGCTCTGCTGCGGAAGCTGAATGTGCCCTTCTCCGATATTGAGGACCGGATTGTACATGTGGGGAAACAAGAGGTATATTTGTTTGTGTATATATAGCTGCTAATCAAGTAAAACACAGTTTCTGTATTTCCTTATATGGATGTTGTTCTCAACTAATTTCTGTAGGCATCTCGTCTTCTCATGGCGTCGCTCACCTCAAACTCTCCTCTGACGGCTGCATTTCTTGGGTGTGCCTGTTGTTGTGAGAAAGTTCAAGTTGGCGGTACGACAAGTTCAGTGGACGAAACTGCGAGGCCAACAAAGAGACGTACAAGATCATCGAACAAAAACTAGGTCAAACCGCGCGTTAAGGAGTTCTGAATTGTTTCGATTTTAATTAAGGAGAAATGTCTATGTTGAGTTCTAGGGTTTTGTGGGTAACGAAATGGAAACTCCGTTCTTCTGCTTCACCAATCTGCTGTCTCAATTCTCAAGTCTTCTTCCTTGTTGATGGTGTTGTTTTCGGGGCGGTTTCGGTAAATCCAATTATCTGACGTTAAAAAGTATTTTTACTATATTTTTCAGAGTTAGGGTCTTTTGACTTTGTGAATTGGCTTCTTTAAATTGTTATGTTTTTCTGAGAGTATAAGCAGGTACAGTCCATTTTGTTTTTTTTATTTCTCATGCTTTCTTATTCTCTTAGAAAATTCAAAACAATCGAGTATAATTTTACATTAATAAAATAAAAAGTTATAAGAAATCATGTAAACATAATACATAATCAATCATAACTTCACAATCCAAATCTCAACTCATAAGATTGCAAATAATCATATATGATCTAACTGAATAACACCACTAAAGAAACAAGAAAGAAACAAGAACTACTGACAAGGGAGGGTTGCTCCTTCGATTGTAAAATGTAGCTAGAAAAATGTGACTTCTGACTTTTTACGACGTTTTAAACGTTGGACGAAGAATTACTTGTGATAGATAGAGTTCGAGATGTTTGAAAGAGAGATTTTACTGGTCTTGAATCTCTAAGAACTTTTTCCTTTGACCAAAGGCTCAAACAAGTGAACTATTATTTGTTTTCTTAATCAAACCATAAAGCAAAATAAACTTTAGCGATGATCCAACCATTAATAAATCCATACCGTTGGGCCCTAGAATTCGCGAGCTGGGCAATTGGCAGGTGCCAATCGGGTTTGGATTGATTTCAGATGGGTTCTCCGGCCCGGCCCACGAATTGCCTCTCTCTTTCTTTGTACATGCCTTTTCCCAATCGTAAAGCTAAAAACGAATCAGCTGCTCCTTGTCCCACTCGGACTCTGTTTCACACATCCATTTGTCAAATTTCCCAAACCCTACAAAAGAAAGCCAATCCAGCGTTCAAAACCCAAAAGAAAACAACCTAACATTCTTTCTTGCGAACGGCGACTCTCTGGAACTCGGACGACCTGGTAAGTCGCCTCTCTCTCTCTCTCTCCAGAGCTGCAAACTTCTGGTTCGATTTCGTATTTCTTTCTGTTTCAAGTTTAACCGAGTTGCCTTGGCTGGCTGTCAATCGAAAGCTATTATCGCGATCTACTGAAAATTTTGATTCTAAATACCGGAGAAAGCTTGAACCTTTTATGTTATTATGATGAACATGGACAGGATGGTTCTTGATCCTTTTCTCTAATTATGAATTGTAAGCAATGCTTGTTAGAACTCTCATAGTTTCCCAGTTATTGGATTTCTTCATAAAGTCGCAATCTTGGCTCGATTGCTATAGGATTATTAAATTTCTGCCTTCTATGGAGCTGTGTCAAAAGGGAACCCTGCAGTTTTCCAAACAGGGAGATGGCACATACAGGGAGAGTAATCTTGGCAATAAGGAATTTAGAGGGAAGCCTATAGTGAGACGTAAAGTACTGTTGTTTTGTTGGTGGGCTTCCTTGGTCTTCATCTCATTGAGGACCAGAAGAAGCATTTGCTTGTAAGAGGAGGCTGTTTGAGCAAGTTTATATGCTGAGTTCTTATGTAGATATCTGTCAACTATCAGATCTTTTTCTAGTTTCCTTCAAAATTCATGATTATTGTCTTGGAGTTGGTTGCAACTTGCTGCCATAGGCTAATGAGGCACTGCCATTATAATTTTGTGCTGAATTCATTCTGGAGTTACCTTTTCAACAGAACACTGTCCAGAAAAATGCCAGAAGACACAGAGTACCGTTGTTTTGTTGGTGGTCTTGCTTGGTCTACATCTGATAGAGGACTGAAAGAGGCATTTGATAAGTATGGGAATCTTCTTGAAGCAAAGGTGTGATAATTCTCCGAATCACTTGTCTGGTCTACATGGCTCCATACCCTCAGTGTTAATTTTTTGTTTCGTTTTAAGGGTGTTAGGTGCATAAAACTACGATATCAGATACAATCTAGTTTCACTTTTTCCATTCATATGTTACATTGTACAAGGGGTAATCACTTCCTTGATGCTGTTAACCTTGTACTGCATTGTAAAAAAAAACCTTGTACTGTGCCTGCGCTTACTGAGGTAATTGCAGGAATAAAAAAAAATAGTAGTTTATTGGAAATAGGTGCTTCTTGCTTCAAAGAGGGGTAGAAGTTGTTTGTTGCATTTGCATGATTATAGATGTTGTCAACTGTGGAGGAGTATAACTTTCATGCTTTTTGTCTACTATAGGTGGTTGTTGATAAGTTCTCTGGGCGCTCCCGTGGATTCGGATTTGTAACTTTCGATGAGAAGAAAGCATTGGAAGAAGCTATTGAAGAAATGAATGGGATGGATTTAGATGGTCGAACTATTATAGTTGAGAAAGCCCAACCTAGCCAAGGTTCCGGACGAGATCATGATTCTGACCGAAGCCGTGGACGTGATCGTAGTTCAAACTATGAAGGTGGAGGTAGACGTGGTGGAGGTGGTGGGGGAGACTGCTTCAAGTGTGGCAAACCGGGACATTTTGCTAGAGAATGTCCAAGTGGTGAAGGAGCAAGAGGTGGAGGCAGCAGGAATGGTGGTCGAGATGAAAGGTCTGGTGGCCGAGATGAGAGGTATGGAGGTGGAAGTAGCAGAGATGGGAGCCGCTATGGTCCAGATAGGAATGGAGACCGGCATGGGGGGCGCAGCAGCAGAGATGGTGGAAGCCGTGGGGGTGAAGGAAGTGATCGCTATAGCCGTGACCGCTCTGGACCATATGAACGAAGGGGTTCTTGAGGAGATGCTGTTGTGGGTAAAATAGCTACCGATTGTGGTAGCTTTTTCTATACTAAACTTTATGGACTAAGAAAATGTAATGTTGTACTAATGGAATATGTTTGCCTCCTTTTGGCAGATGGGTGGCCTAAAGGAACTGCTGTTGCCGTCTGCATGGCGGTAGACTTGATAGCTGCAGCTGTGGTCGTCGTCTGTGTCTTTTCGTGGATCAGCCTAGTAGATCCATTTCTTCAAGTGCAGAACTTGCATAAATGTTGTAGTACTTTGTGTTCTCGAAATGGCGCCTTTGATGTTTGTGTGACGAGATGATGGATACAATGGTTGCTTTGACATGGAATTGTGAGGTGGCCGTGGCCCTTGTTCGATTGAGTTTAATTTGACATCTGGGTTCCTACGACCTTTGTGCTACCAGCTGCAAAATCATAAACATGCTCAACAGTTCATTTGATCAATTTGCGTTGGCAAGAACCATTGATATGGATTGGCATTTGGAGGAACAGTAACCCTACTGCATACTGTGCTTGAAGTCTGAAACCTTGGGTGTTTGTGAGTAGAAGGCGGCTTAAACATGAGTGACTAGTTGGTTAGAAAACCGGAATGGGCCGGGTAAATCCTTTTTCATCCCTAACCTTTGCCCTAGTCCTTATCAATGCTTCATCTTAATATTAATTTCGAAATGTCAATGTTTTGGCAGGGTTGATGATATATTATGGTCTTTCTGGGTGCATATTTGGACTTAGTCTGTTGCTCATAACAGAAGTACTTTCTCTTTTAAAATACTGCTGAGGTCCTTTTGTGGGGGCAGCAGAGCTTAACTATAAGGCACCAAATGACGTTATCCTGTTCATGAGTGGTGTTCTTGTCGAACAGATGGAAGTGTCGAGCAATAGTTCTTGGTCTTTCGTCTTCTGGATCTTCTTCCAAAGAGGAGATACTTATGCTCCAGTCCTTTCTGTGGCTGTTTCTTTTGGTTGGTACTTTACAGATAGGCATACACATTGGAAGTATTTTGTCCGTGTCATTTGAGGAACTGTTTTCTATAGGTTCAGAACTTACAGGTATCCTTCACGCAGAAGAGGCTTCTGCTCATCTTTGGTTCCATATTGGTCTTCTATCATTTGTTCGCTTAAATCGTTCTTAACTTGACTGCATATTCACCTCGTAGCAGATGGCAATTTTCGAGATTTTACTTTCACTGTCTTGCCAGTTTTGTATTGTACAATAAAGGTTTAGTGAGTTTTGGATTCTTTGTACAGCCAGTAGAAATTCTGGGAAAACAATCAGGCAATCTTGGTGTATGGGTTTGAGAGTTGCTTATTTTCAGCCCTTCATGGTTTTCAAACTCTCTGTCTTCTCTGTACTAAGCTTTCTCTCATCTAGCAAGGGTTGTTTCTGGTGTTTCTCCAGAATCAGCAGCAACTTTCTCCCTAGTGGGTTGAAGATGTCTCTTTCGTAGTTTGTTCTCTATCTGCTGCTATGAAGATGTTCCTTTTGTGGTTTGTTTCTCCTTTTTCCCCAGCTTTCTTTTCGTCTAAGATCTTGCGGGTCTTATAGTTCGTAAGCTTAGTGTTTCAGAGGGAGCTATGGTATTCATAGTTTGTATCTCTTCTCTCTTTCCGTTATCCATCTCCTGGCTTCATCGATGAATTCAGGCGAGGTGATTCGATGGCTGGATGTGTAGCATGGGTACCCTTATTGCCTCCATTACATCTTCACCAGAGAATACGAAAGACTCTTGTTTGTTGCATGGTTTGTCGTGCTACTTAGATTGATGGATGGTGACAGTTGTTTCTGATCTCACTCCATCACCATTTTCGGCCCCTCTCTTGAGGGCTCCGGCAACTACATCAGTTTCTTTCATTCTTGCAAATTGCAATTGAGATTTTCAGAGCAGTCCTTTGTCGACCCCCCTTTTCATTTGGAGGTCCGTCGACATCATCTTCTTCCTGCGAGGAGCTGCTGGTTGTTGACAGCAGCAAACTCATTCGTTTTGATGTAGTGTGATGTGGGTGGTGGCAACTGGTTTTTCTGTCTCGGCGAAACTAAATAAACAAGGAGATACATCCTAGACTTTTCTTTCATAACGAAACTAGCACTGACTAGTGAGACCTATGGTGGGGCAGCGTACATGAAGATAGTGATAGTCGTTTCACAACATCTCAAGCACAAGCAATTAGAAGCCTGATGTAGCCAACTATCAATAACCATCCAACAGACAGACAGAACTCAGAAGTAAGAAAAATCAGTAGATTTATTTAGATATCCCAATGACCAACATCTGTAAGTGTACGATTAGGAACAACAGCTAACTGTTGTGCTGATCAGGAAGCTCAGCTTCGGTTCTTACCATATGAACAGCCAAATTACAGATAAAGTAAAGGCAGCAGATAATCAGTAGTTTTATCCAGCCATTCTCCATGGCCGACTGCTCTAAATGTAAAAGAATTGTACAAATGCACATGCTAAAATACACAATCATCACAACTTCGAGGTCACCTAATCCCCCTGACTGCTGGCATGTTACGGCTTGTCAACTGCCACCTCCGTCCAAGTCTCTACGCCTACGTCGTCTACCTGAACTGTTAAAAAGCAGTTGCCCCTGACCACGGAGGCGAGAAGCAAGTGAGGTTTCACCTCCACTGTCATCATTGTTGCCGTCTGCAGTCCAATCATAGGTGTGATGATGGTCAATGTCTTCATCAAAGGAAGCCAATCCACCAACTGGAGAAGGGTGTCGCATGCCACCACCGGCTCCTTCTGACTGGTGGTGGGAACCTGATGCTGATCCAAAGGCATGCAGCAGCATAAAAACATTCGCCAGATTCCGATCAAAACCCACAAATCCTCCTCCTTCCCTCCTGTTTGCAGCCTCGATGCTGAACCCCATATCTTCATCATCATCTGAATCAAAGTCACCATGGTTTCTCTCAATCACGTAATCCCCAAAAACCAATGACCCAGGCATTGTAGATCTTATCGTGCTGAGAACATCATCACGCTCTCGCTCCCTCTCCAACCTTCCCCACTTCTGCTCCAACAGAGGGTCTACCCCACGTGGTGTTGCACAAGGGTGAACTCCCTTCATGTGCTTCCTCAATTCCTTGTAAGTGCCAACAAATGAACAATCATCTTGCATACAGCTTCTTTCCTTGGAGTTCAGATATTCACGGGCAGGCTCCACCACAGTCCACCCTTTTACTTGGCCCCTACAAAGAGGACATGCAAGCTCCGAGATCTCACACTGCTCGACATCCCTATTCGCATATGCTTTCTTGTATTGGTCAAGACAATTGGAGTAACGGAAGCTAGTCCCACACATATAGGGACGACAACCCTTGTCATGAGAGGAGCAAAGCAACAGGACGGCATTATGTGGGCATTCCATGCAAACAGAGCAAGTCACATCTTCCCAATCTTTCTTATCTAATAATCCTCCGGAGCCTTTCGGGCAGCATTGCTCTTCAATTTGACTGCCACAAGTCCGCAAATGGTAGGGAGCCATCCTGCACTGTCTGTAAGAAGACCTACGTCGCGACCTCCCAACTTTCGCCATGTGCCACCTGACCTTCAGAGAAAACCATTAACAAAAAGCACTCAGAAAGATTGGAAGCATCACAGGTTTCAGGACATAAAGAGAACGAAAGAGCAGTCATAATACACTAAACCGGAATGTGCAGTAAATGGAACAGAGAAGCAAATTTAGAATGATATTAAAATCTTTTCATCCCCCAAAACAACAGCATATGAAGTAAGAAGTGTAAACGTTCCAAAAAGGGCTCATGTCCTGTATTTCAGAAAAGGCACAACAAGTAGATGAAGCCCTTTTAAGAAAGAACTCACCATCCAAGAGGATTGTTCAAGGGGGTTGAATTGCACAAACAACAGAAGGAATCTAGCAAATATCCAAACCATGGAAACATTCTGAGCAATGCACAATCAAGGTAACGACATCATGAAGCTAAAATCACATAAATAATTCCAAGTCAATTCAGCTCATTCTTAACAGTACCCACAAAGTATTTTTGGATGATGAAAAGTACCCAAAACTAAAATGGCTCGTCGTCAATCAGCAAAGCATGTGAAACCATTGATGCCAAACAACCCACACAGAATTGAATAACCCAGTCCCAGAGAACAGATCATCTACAAATGCAGAATAACCCAAGAATGAAAACGAACTCCTCCGGGTAATGAATTCAAGTACATCCCAATTAGCTCCCAAGGTTTTTTTTTTAAATCTAAAACAACAAAAACTGGAGACCCTACAGAAGAAGTGACTCACCGTCAAAGCTTCTGGAACTTGCACCAAACCAGTCGCCTGATTACTGTGTCAGCTGCGACACTGAGCTCTGGGACAGGTGGATGAAAGAAGTAGCAGACGGCGATGATATCTAAGGCGAAAGGACGGACGGAGCAGAAGAGACGATGCGGCTGAGATTTGATCTGCGGCGACGATAATGGCGGAAGGAGCAACTAATGGAAGAAGAATCGATTGGGGGAGAGCGGAATCGTGCAATTGAATTAAGAAGAATTTAAGGATGATGAAGAATGTGATTATGGATTGGAAATTGTGAATAGAAATGGAGGGAGAACGAGAAACATCGTGGGGATCGTGGATCGTGGCGTGGGAATTGATTGGGAGATGGGAAAATTGAGGTGGATGCACAAAGCTTCACGGAAAAGGTAACCGTACGTCAGCATCTGGTTCTAAAGGATAACCCGGATCATGGGCCGGTAACCCGCCAGTAATGTGCAAACCCGAACTTTTGCCTGGTCCAGCTGTCGCAATGGGCACACCGCCGCCAGGCCGTATCTGGGTTAACTACACCTGGGCTCAGTGTGGGCCTCTGTTATCTTCTTTTTACGTGGGGCCATGCTGTGGCCCATCACAGTTGTGCCTTTACCAGCACGAAAATTAGTTTCTTTTATTCCGTTTTTTTTTAAATGTTTTAATCAATGTTTTAGAAATCGCATTGGCCGGTAGGATCGAAAGTATCGAACCCAAATAGAACGCGATTTTAGTAGCAACGATTGGATTACGGTTCAATTACGACTTTAGTACAAAATACTTTTATCACTAACTTTTCCGGTATAACCTTTTGTACGATTTCATAATTACTGGTTTTGTTTGGTTTGTAATTAGTATGCGGCATGAATGTTGCTAGCACAGAGAAGTTAACTTGATTCTGCTTGAATTGCCATATCGAAAGGAAATCTAAACAGAAAAGGAATAAGAAAATTAGATGCTTCATTAAGCCATTTCCAGTGGCCAACTTGTGTACATGACCAATGTACGATTAGTAACAAAAGCCAACTGCTGAGCTGATCAGCAACTTGAGCTTCAGTTTACAATATCAACAAGGAAACTACAGATACAGAGCAGAAGAAATAGCCTTATGCAGCCATCTTCCACGAGCCAAGTTCTCTAAATGTAACAATTGTACAAATGCACATATGCGAAAATACACAATCCCATGAGATCATTGTCAATCCCCATTTTCCTGAAAAAGAATGATGTTTATTGTTGACCAGCAAGATCTCCCTGCTTACAATGGCATGAAATGGCTTGTCATCTGCTACCTCTGTCCATGTCCCTACGCCTACGTCGTCTACCTGAACGATGAGAAACAAATGATGACATGCCACCACCATCATCGTCTGCCATCTCATCGTAGCCATGACGATGGTCAATGTCTTCATCAAAGGAAATGAATCCACCAACTCGAGAGGTGTGGGGATCTGGCATCTCCCGCTGTGGAAGCCTCCTGCTAAACTCTTCACCTGATGAACCAAAGGCATGCAACATCATGAACACATTCGCCAGGTTCCTATCAAAACCCACAAATCCTTCTCCTCCGCTCCTGTTTGCAGCCTGAATCTCAAACCCCACATCTTCATCATCATCTGAATCACCACCATGGTTTCTCTCAATCACGTAATCCCCAAAAACCAATGACCCGGGCATCGTAGATCTTATTGTGCTGATGACATCATCGTGCTCACGTTCCCGCTCCAGCCTTCGCCACTTCTGTTCCAGCTGCGGATCTACTCCACGTGGTGTTGCAGAAGGGTGAACCCCCTTCATGTGCTTCCTCAACTCCTTGTAAGTTCCAGCAAAAGAACAATCATCCTGCATACAGCTTCTCTCCTTGGAATTCAGATATTCACGGGCAGGCTCCACCACAGTCCACCCTTTCACTTGCCCCCTACAAAGAGGGCAGGCAAGCTCCGAGATCTCACACTTCTCGGCGTCACCATTCGTGTATGCTTTCTTGTATTGGTCCAGACAATTGGAGTAACGGAAGCTAGTCCCACACATATAGGGACGGCAACCCTTGTCATGAGAGGAGCACAGCAGCAGAACTGCATTGTGTGGGCACTCAATGCAAACAGAACAAGTCACGTCTTCCCAGTCTTTCTTATCGAACAATCCTTTGGAGCCCTTATTGTTTGGGCAGCATTCATCTCCAATGTGACTATCACAAGTCGGCAACTGGTATGGAGCCATCCTGTACTGTCTGAAAGAAGCCCTGCGTTGGGATCTACCACTCTTTGCCATGAGCCAATTTAACCTACATAAACATTTAATGAACTTAAAATACATTGATCTACATGTGAAGCCGAGATTTTAAAGAATCTAAATAGAAAGAGCTCAGAATGCAAAAGACTGAAAATCATGAAAGTGATAAGGTTCAGGACATATAGAGAACTCAATGGCTCTCCAAAAACAAATCTTTACTAGATGAACCTTCAAAACTACAACGTATATGAGAGGGGCTCGAGTTCAGTTTGTGAAATAACATGTCTAAGAAACAATTCATCACCCAATACAATTTCTACAAACCGGATGAATAGTTCCACAGAGTACATAAAAGGGAATCAAGTCAAATACCCAGATTATGGAAACATTTGAGCAATGTACAATTAAGATAACGATGTCATAAAGCTAAAGCACAGAAATAATTCAAAGTCAATTAAGCTCATTCTTAGTAGCACCCACCAGCAAATTTCCGACAATGCACTATCCTCATCATCATCCATCAACATTCAGCAAGCATGGGAAACCATTGAAACCAAGCAAACCCATATAGAATTGAATGCCAAAATGTCATCTACGAACGCAGAATTACCAGGAAATGAAATTAAACACCTCGAAGTCATGGGTTAAAGCAAAATTCCAATTGTCCCCAAAGTTCTGGATCTAAACTAAAGAGGAAGGAAGATCCCAATAGAAGAAAACCCTCTCACCGTCAAAGCTTCTATTACAACTTGCACCCAATCACAAGTGGCAAGTCGACCGATCGCTGCGTGCTGCGGAAACAGTTAACACCGAAGGAGGAAGCCGCAGCAGCAGCAGCAGAAGACGACGCCGATGCCGATGACGATGCCAATGGCCTGAAGGAGCGGCTATGATTTGACCTGCGGGGAGGACAAGGGCGGAAGGAGCAGCAACAACCAGCTAGCTACCTAGCAAGCAGAAGAATCGATGGAAATTTTGCGGATGAACAACAAGAATTAAGAACGATGAACTGTTTAGCGATTGCAAATTGGCAGAAATGGAGAGGAAACAATCGTCTGGTCGGGGGAGATAGGGGATGGATTTAAGAAAGCACAAATCTTTCACGCAACGCAAAGGGAACCATCAGAGCATTTCTGGTTTAAAAAAAAAAAAGAAAAGTGCGCATCTGATTCTGGAGGATAACCCGGATCACGTGCCGATAACCCGCCTGACAGAGATTCAAACCCGGATTTCAACAAGGTGTCGCCATGTGGCACGTGGCGTGTGGCCAGTGATTGGATCCAAACAAAACCAAAGCGGAGTGAGTTAATATTTGGTGAATCGAATTGGATCAAAATAATTCACTTTTGTAGATTTCCTTAAGATATAGAAGAAAATGAGGAAGAAAACAAATTTAGAACCAATAAAATTACATTTCTAAATGACTTTTGGTTTTCAAATTTCCTTTATTATTCCTAATCCAACCCTGATTCGGTCCTGAATTTAACAGAAGATATCCAACCAAGCATGGTGGATCATGCTTGGATCAATTAGGGAGATGATAGATTTCGGGTTGGGAAACAATGTGTTTGGTCCAGACTAGAACATATATACGGTTTACCGCCTATATCATCAGCGTTTCTGGTTTTCAAATTTAGAACCAATAAAATTACATTTCTAAAAGAATTTTGGTTTTCAAATTTCCTTCGTTCTTCCTAATCCGACCCTGATTCGGAACCAATCGTGGTGGATCATGCTTGGATCAATTACGCAGAGTAGGGGTGGTTATACGGTCCGGTCCGGTTAAATTGGCCCAAATTGATCCTGTCCAGTTCGGGTTTTTTGAAAATATAAGGACCGAAGATTGGATTGGATACAGTCCGGTCTTGATCCGGTCCGGTCTTGGCCCGGTCCGGTCCCAATTCGGTCTTGATTTTATATTGAGATTGTGTGAATTTGAGTGGCCTAAGGCCTAAAAGGGTGAGGAGTTGGTTAAGTTTTGTACTAAGTGCAAAGGTTTGTGACCGTTTATGCAAATTACCCTTAAGTTTTGGGTGTTGAGCTCTCTTATCCGGTCTTTATCCGGTTTTTTACCTCAAATCTAAGCCCAAAGATTGGATTGGATTGTTTACTATCCGGTCCCGGTCCGGTCTCGGTCCGGGTTATACGGTCCGGTTTCCGGTTTTTCATCCGGTCCCGGTCCAAATAGCCAGCCCTAACGCAGAGGATAGATTTCGGGTTGGGAGACAATGTGTTTGGTCCAAACTATAACATATATGGCAAAGGCTAGCGTACGCCCGGACGTACCCTAGCCTACCGTACGTCTGTTGAGTTTTGCTATTTAGACAATGAATTAACCGGAGTTTGGGGCATGATACTATACCCTAACCCCTAATGGGTGAACCCCAGCCCGCAATTCACTAACTCAAAGCATAATTTCATTTAATCTTGAAATGAAAATCAACGGTTCCGATTTGTCGAAATTATTGTTGATTTTCATTTTAAGATTAAACGAATTTCATGATTTGGATTAGAAAACTAGGGACCGGGGTTTATCCATTAGTGGTTATGGTATAGTATCATGCCCAAAACTCCGGTTAATTGATGATCTAAATAGCAAAACTCAAACGGACGTACGGTAGTCTAACGTACGCCCGGACGTACGCTAGCCTAAACCAATGCCCGGACGTACGCTAGCCTAAACCAACATATATGTACATATTACACTCGTTGAAATAGAAACTAGTCGCTAAACCAAATACAATATAGTCCATACCAGATCATGTATGTGCGATATCTTCCAGTATGTTTGGACCGGACACACCATGTTAAGTATAACTTAATAGTTTTTTTTTCATCACACAACAATCGAAACAAATAACTGAAAACTGGAAATAGATAGAGCCTACAATCTGGTCGGGTAAATTGTGGTCAAAATTAGAGCGGATAAGAAATCAAAACAACTCATAATATAGAGCATGGATAAAATTAAAGTCACTTTATATAATCTACAAATCAAACCGAACTGTATGATCCAATTCAATACATAATTTTTTTTTACAGATAAGGGCGATACATGTTTAATATTTTTGTGGTTTAGATACTAGTTAAAAGATTAAAACCTAAGACCTCAAAATTGATTTTTCCAAATGATAGAAGACTATTTTTCCGACCTAGATAGGCCTATCTATTTGACATGTGAGCCTCTTCTTCTTTTCTTTTGTATCATACTAAAGTAAGTAAACTCACCACATCACAGATCTAGCTCATAAGCCATAACATTGCATCTGGCTCGATCTCCTTGGACTGAGGTAAAGGGCTGTCAGGACAGATACAAATATTTTATGGACCAAACCAACAGTATGTTGTAATTATAACGACAGCTGAAACATGCATAGATCTATCAACTGGACACTCGCCTTTAATCACGACAGCAACCCAGCTGGAAATGAACACAGAGGCGAAGACACAGCCGCACAGCAAGCTTCCATAACTTGCTGATCTTTTTGCAGCTGCAACAACGAAGTGAAGCCGCGCACACCAAGCTTCTTACCCACAAGAAGAAGAAGAAGAAGAAGAAGAAGAAGAAGAAGAAGAAGAAGAAGAAGAAGAAGAAGAAGAGAAGAAGAAGAGAATGTCCCAGCAATCATATGAAAGCTCAGAAGTTAAAGATTAGCCAACATTAGTGTTGTCTTCAGCCTTCACGCTATCGGAACGATCTCGGATCCATGCATCTTTCAAGTCCAAGACCAAGACTTCGTTTTATTTAGTAGACATTGTAGAAGTTGTAATTAAGAGGGACTGGAGTTTCTGGGTTTTCCTCTATTAATGGATCATTAAAAAAATTATACACGAAATTTTGTTTGAAAAGGTTTTGTATTCAAGGATAGCGGGTTAACATGAAAGAAATGAAACACGTGTTATCAATTTTTTTTTGGTAAGACGTGTTATCATTTTATGATTACATTAGGAAAAATTGTGGATTTAAACCGAGAACATTTGTGAATTGACATGAAAGCGAATTTGTTGATATATTCTAAATTACATTAGGAAAAAAATATTATGACAAAGAATTGAGTTTAGCTTTTCGTGAGTAATCCAAAGAATCCCGATTAAGGATCAAATGTATCTCTTTAATGCAATATAAATTTGTATGATTAGATTTAACTTATTGATATTTAGTGAGTATGATTGAGATTAAATATTCCTTTCTAGTGTTTAACTCAGAATTTTCACACACGTGACATTAATAACCAATTAATCACCCAATGACTTGAAATAGACCAAATAATTCGTATTCTAATTTTGAAACACATCGATTTCTCTCGCTCATCCACATTATAGTAAACAAAACTCAACCAAGCCTCACCTACAACACCTCTCCTCCATCCAAATTAACTCACCACCACCCCATAATTTTAGCTCCCAAAAATATAAATTCTCTAAATCAAGACAATCCCAAATCCCCTATAAGAACCTCCCCATCCCCTCCCACCATTTTCATCAGCCATAGTGCACAATAATTAAAAAAAATAAAAATATATAAAATAAAAAAATAAAGAAATCATCCTTCTATACCTCTCTCAATTTTTTTTTTCCTTTTTATTCCTAATCACCGGCAAGTTATTCACTAGCTCGCCGGACAGACGGATCCAAAATAACCAAAAATATATGAAATCAATATAAAAAAAAAGGAAGAAGAGAAAAAAAATTAAGAAAAGAAGAAAAAAAGAAACAATTACAGTATGGCAGCCAAAGTAATAATCCCAGTGGTGGGGCTCCTCCTTGTGGTGGGCATCGTCATCGGCGTCGTCTCCTCCGTCAACAAGGGCCCCAAAGACCCGGCCACCGGCGACGAGAACCTGACCCCTCACATGAAGGCCGTCGACCAGATTTGCCAGCCCACCAACTACAAAGAGGAGTGCGTGAAGAGCCTGAGCGGCGCCAACTCCACCGACCCAAAAGACCTCATCAAGGCCGGCATCCTCGCCATCGCCGAGTCCCTCAAGAAGTCGTTCAACCTCAGCGACGACCTCGTCGCCAAGGCCGAGAAGGACAAGGACACCGCCCGGACCAAAACCGCCCTCTCCGACTGCAAGGAGCTCCTCCAGGACGCCTCCGACAAGCTCCAGGACATCATGGAGAAGGTCGGCGCCTCCGACCTCAGCACCATCGCCAACCGCTCCGACGACTTCAGGATCTGGATCAGCTACGTCATCAGTTACCAGGTAGAGCGAATCAGTACCTATACTGTCAGGTTCTTATTGAATAGAATTCAATGTTGTCGGAACCGAAACCGGAGCATGACCCGGTAATACGAACGGCTCGCACTTTATTAGTGGTCAAAACCAACATCAGACCGTTTAAAACCCGTTAGAGAACCGGTACCTAATAGACGCTATCAGTATAATAAGTGGACATTTCTTAATCAGAACTCGTCTCTCCTTCGAAATTGTGAAATGGACGAGCGGCTAGATCGATTAACCGCCTCGGCCGCTCGTCAACCGTTACATAAAACCACAGCGGTTTTTAAACTGTTTCGAGCCGATTTTGTGACCGAGTAGCGGTTTTATCGGTCGAATCGAGCAGCTCGGCTCGAATTTAATAACACTGGAATAGATACTAGTTTGTTCATTTGATGTGAGTTAAGTTTCATTCAAATTAATCACTTCGACTAATAGTTTTCTATATAAATTATAAGTAAAAAAAAAGAAAGTATTAAATTTTTTTCCTTGACACGTCAGGAAATGTGCGTGGACGGGTTCGACCAGGACAGCACCGTCAGGACTGACGTCAGGGACAGTACGGAGGTGGGGAGCCAGTTGACCGACAATGTGTTGACCATCTTGGGCGGGATTCAGCAGGTCCTCGGCTCGTTCGGATTGAAGCTCAACCTGACCAGCTTGGCATCCGGCGGCGGCGGGGATCAAGAGGAGCATCATCGGAGGTTGTTGTCGCAGGACAACGGATTCCCGTCGTGGATGTCGGCGGCGGACAGGAAGCTGTTGCAATCCACCCCTAAGATGACGCCCAACGCGGTGGTGGCCAAGGACGGGAGCGGGCAGTACAAGACCATCTCCGCCGCGCTGGCGGCTTACCCCAAGAACTTCCAGGGTAGGTATGTGATCTATGTGAAGGCCGGAGTTTACGCCGAGCAAGCCACCGTCGGGAAAGGAATGAAGAACGTGTACATGTACGGCGACGGAGCTAGGAAGAGCATTGTCACCGGTCATTTGAGCTATGCTAAGGATGGCCTCGGCACCTGGAAGACCGCTTCCTTCAGTAAGTTCACTATTACACTGTTGTCAAACCAGTTTAAATCGCTAAGTAAATTAAGCAAGTCGTTTGAGATTTAATGATATAAAATCGGAGTCCAATATATCTGAGATTTACTAAATATGTATATAATTCACTATACCTAGCATCATCTCAATTTGTAATTCTGTTTCAAAACAACATTTTGTCATCGAGCTGAAAACCAAAAAAAAAATGATCCGACCACTAATTTTCTTGGTTTAACCAATTTTGACTGGTTTCAACTAACACTCAAAATGACTTGTTAGAAATCTGTTTTCATGATGGATTTCGACTGACAAACCGGTCTGATAGTGGTTTGACAACCTTTGCGTTTACATGCTTTTTAACATTCGGTGTGTTCTGTGTTTATGTTTGTGCAGTCGTGGAAGCCGACGGGTTCATCGCTCGGTCAATGGGATTCCAAAACACGGCCGGACCGGAAGGCCACCAGGCCGTGGCGGTCCGCTCACTATCCGACCAGTCCGCTTTCATCAACTGCAGGCTGGACGGCTTCCAAGACACGCTGTGCTACCAAGGCGGCCGCCAGCTGTTCCGCAACTGCGTCTTATCCGGAACCATCGACTTCCTCTTCGGATACGGCGCCGTCGTGGTGCAGAACTCGCTCATCATCGTCCGCCGCCCCATGGCCAACCAGTTCAACACCGTCACCGCCGACGGGAAAAAGGAGAGAGGCCAGCCCACCGGGATCGTGATCCAGAACTGCCGGATCGTCCCGGAGGCCAAGCTGGTCCCCGACAGGTTCACGCTGAAGACGTACCTCGGCCGGCCGTGGAAGGACTTCGCCACCACGGTGGTGATGGAGTCGGAGCTCGGCGACCTGATCCAGCCCGACGGGTGGAAGCCGTGGGACGGGACCATCTTCCTGGACACGTGTTTCTACGGGGAGTACGCCAACCGGGGCCCGGGCGCCAACACGGCGAGGAGGGTGACGTGGAAGGGCGTGCACAGCGTGCTGTCGAGAGCTGAGGCGATGAGGTGGACCGTTGACTCGTTCCTCAAAGGGAGGGAGTGGGTTGCTAATACGGGCGCTAATGTTATTTATGGGCTTAAGGGTTAAAAAAGTTTGGGATCGCGTGTTGATTTTTTTTTAAAGTTAATTGGAATGATGATTTGATGACACAAATTATCCTACCCCATGTTATGAACAAGAGGGTTCATGAGTGAAATTGGGGGAAAAGAAATGGAAAAATGAACTAATTTGATATTAATTTATAGTAATTTTCAATGTAATTAGCCTCTCGGCTCTCTCTCTTTTTTTTTTTTGGAAGAATGTTTTTTTTTAATTATTAATGAAATATGTATCCATTTTGGTATCGCTAATTAATTAGTGTTTTCAGTTTTTTTTTTCACCCACATTTTAGTTTTCTAAGTTCATAATGTAACAAAACAAAATTAACTAGGATTTAATATGTATGAATAAGAATTTTGTTTAGTGATAAATGATAATACTATTATTCTTGAATCTGAAAATTTCAGGTCCAAATCTCTCCAATAGCACCTAACTAGTCTGTAAAAAGTATAATATTCATAATGGCTCATAAAAGTAAATTATTTCTAAATGTGACTGCATGATTTCCCACCTTAATTGCCGGCAAGCTAAAATAAGACCTACCCTACCCGGGTAAATTTAATTGATCACCATTTGTTTTTTTTATAACTAAAATAATCGAAATTACTACTTTATATAGTTAAAATCTTTGATTATACTGTACGCATGTAATAAGAAATTGGTTTATGAGATTACATGATTGATCGAGTAGTCTGTGAAAAAAGAGTTGATAAATTGATGGCATGCGTGAAAATAGGTTATGTATATGAACAAAAACTTATTTGCATGAATAATCGATTAACTTACTTGAAAAAATAGAATATGTATGTGAAGATTGTAACAATTTTCCATTCCACAACTTGTACCAAGAAATCATTATTGAGTTAGATCGGTTAACTAGAACCCCCTAAAACTCTACTACTTTTGCTTTCGAACCCATTCTCCTTACCTATTTGTTTTTTCTCCATCATCCTTATAGCGTCACCTTCTTGGAGGTGAAGGCGGGGTTAGGGTTGATTCTGGTATATGATATACGAGCTAATGATTACTCTTGGTATTCGAAAATCGCAATAATGAGGATGGAGATGAAAAACCTCGCACTTATAATAGTCGGTGACAATCAGGTGACCCTACAACCGTTTCCTTGCCAATGGTTGAGCCGAGCAGAATTTAATCGTTAGCACAAACGCTAATGGTAACACTAGATCTGAGCGAAAATTAAGACAAACATGAAGTTTTAATTTGGCAAGTGATGTCCCTTGCATCGAGGTGGATCCCCTTATGAAGACTAGTAATCAAATTAATTTATCCGACAACCACATAAGCTAATTAATTAACAGCCAAAATAGAGAGTTAGGAGGAATTAAAGAACAATGCAATGTGCTACCCTTGGCTCATTAATTAATACTTCAATTAAAAATTGATGCTTTAGTTGTTATAATATAAAATCCAGTGTCTAATTTGTCCTATATTAGGAGTAAAGGCACCATATCGGTAATTTACCTAGGCTCTGAAGTAAAGTGAAATTGAAATGGGGAAAATCGAGCAAATAGCAAGCGACAACAGCAGAGTGGGAGGGAGCTGGAAAGGAGCAGCCTTTCGGTCATAATCATTGCAAACAGCATACCACGGCATAGTCAATTGATCCAACGTTTTATCGGAAATCATTCTAGTTGGCACATGGCCACGACTGCTAACGGCGGAGGAAAAAGAGGTCCCGGCGGCGTCAGAGACGAGCCGGTGGAGAAGATGGCCGAGATAAGCAAAACCCTAAAAGAAGGGGAAAGGATTCTGGCGCCAACCCGAAGGCCCGACGGTTCTCTTCGAAAACCTATTCGGATTCGTGCAGGTTATGTGCCTCAAGATGAAGTCGCTATCTACCAGTCTAAAGGTGCCCTGGTATGTGCTGTTTGTTGCTGGTGGGAGTTTCCCCCGCTATGGCTTTATCCTCTTCTTTTGGTTTGCAGCATTCTTTTTCGGCATTGGGTTTTGCACATGCAATCAAATTAATGTGCTTTGATCGATATCCTAGCCATTGTTGGCTACCTGCATCTTTTTCTAGTTTGTGAGAAGTTGAAGAGAATTGTTCGTTTTGCATTGAGCAATTTGAGAATGATAATGAAGAAATTCAGTCTTAACCTGTTTAGTTGTGAACCATAGCACATTTTAGTGAATGCTTTCTCTGCAGTTCTTGGTATTCGGAGGTGATAATGATATGCCTATTTAGTTTTATCCCCAGAGAGAAATATGAAAGATAGGCTTGTTTCCTTCAATGCAGTGGAAGAAGGAGATGGAATCACATCAGTCAGTACCACCGGGTTATGATCCTGTAGATGCAAAACCAAAGACCAAAGCTGCCAAGAGGAATGAAAGAAAGAAGGAAAAGCGGCTTCAGGTGTGCTTCTTCTTCCTACAATCATCCATACATGTTTATTATCCTTGATGTTTCCGTATATTTGCTGTCCGTAGAAATCCGTTATCTGTGGTCTAATCTTTAATGAAAATTTCATTTGATGTAGTATTTGCTAAAAAGAATTTGGCAAATTGATCTTTTTATTTTGGTAGCTTCGCATATGATTATCAACTAGAAACTCGAGGATTGTGAATTTAAGAATCTGGTGCATTTTTCAAAATTTCTGGTTGATACAAATCACATAAGCAAAGGTCTAAGAGGGGTCTGGTTGAAGACACTTACAGATTGAGTGTTTCTCAAATTGATTTATTGGCACTTGAGGTCAGCTGACATTGTCTGTTTTGAAATGGTCATTGCATTTCTTAGTAAATATGTTTTTCTACTTCCTGGAGAATGCTTGCATGCGACCACCCATCCAATCTTTGAAATCTGTGCTTCCTGTTTTGTGGTAGTATAGTCTGATGACAAACAAGTGGTCGAGAAGATTGCTAAGCTGTAACATCAGATCTTAAAAGTCAAGTCCCATGTTGTATTGATAATTTGAGACAAGTTCATTCTTCACGACCCAATTTCTTGTCTACTTTTACTTTCACATGAATATATTCGTAGTGAAGTTAGCAACACCTCATCTGAAGGCTACACATTGAATTATAAATTATGCAATGCGCAGATTACACCTTTGGTTTTTCTCTTATGCCTTAACTCAGGCTGAGAATAGTCACCTCCTTGGTATCATCAAATTGTCCTGTTTCCATGTGTTCAAAGAACCCAACATAGAGAGTGGCATTGCACACTCTGCATCACAGATTTGAACACGTGCAGATTCTCCTTCTCAGTTCCTTTTCTTTCACGCTATCAGGAAGCTTCGTAACCCATGGGCTCTTGGTCGTGTGATTTCAACAATGTAGATTGTGTGGCCTCTTCATAATGAAGTCTGATGCCTTGCCTTGAAGAGAATACATGCATTTTTACAATGTCTGTCTCGTAGAAGCTTTATATTTAGCATTAGAAGATAATTTTTTTGCCGTCTCCAATCCTTGCCATGAACAATTCTGAAACATGGGGGACATTGCATGGCTGCCAAGTGAACCCTTAGGGGTCGTTTGCTTCAAGGATTTGGTACATGGATTTAGTACCAAAAAACCAACTATCAAGGATTTAGGTACAATCCGTTGTTTGCTTGCACCTTTTTTGGAGACCAAATCCGTGGGGCCCACGGATTTTAAGGGTCCAAATCCGTGGACCCCACGGACTTATAAATCCCACATGTTGATGTGGGATTTGGAATATGGTATAAATCCTTGATGAGATTTTACCCATATACCCTCATGCACTTTTAATATTCCAAGGTTGCCCTCAAATTTAACTATTATACATTATAATTAACAATAAATGAATAATATAAACGTTCAATTAATGTGCAACCATGAGTTAGATTTTTTATATCATTTCTTGTGTTCTAGTTTTCTTTGACCTTTTCATGCAACGTGTAATTCTTTATTCTCCCGATTCTAATATATGTTGTTATATGTTACTTTTGAAAAGGAGGACAAAGAATTGGTAATTGATTATGTTACGTTAAAAGTTAAAACGGAATTTTCTCGTTGATTATTATTGTCCATGTGGCAACATTATGCTTATTAGTATGTATTGTCCTTGTTTTATGTACATATCATAAACATGTCAAACATATAGAAAATGATAGTAAGGTAATTTTGAAGTTTTGTCCTTGTTTTGTGTAGATATCATAAACATGTCACACATATAGAAAATGGCAGTAATGTAATTTTTGACTTCAAGTAGTAAATCCCACACATTTAAATCCATGATAAAAACATCCCAACAAACAAAGGATTGTTACAAATCCATGATACCTCAAATCCTTGATAAATCCTTGGGTTTTTAAATTACAAAACCCTCATTTTTAAATCCATAAAGCAAACGACCCCTTAGTTAAGAAAAATTTATTGCTTTAGAACAAATTAAAGGCTGAACACGGCTTTTACCAGTTGTTGCCGTATAGTGTGATATGACACGTTTGTGAGTTCTGGCTTCTCTAAATCATCATCTTTACTGGGTCTATTGGATCATTTCTGCAGACCCAGTGACCCTGTTTGTTAAACCCCCTATTCTTAGCTAGTAAGCACAGGTAGACCTTGTCAAAACTATTTGATGTAATTTTGTATTAAGGGTGTGACTTTTAACTGGAACTCTTATGTTGGAGCATCATTCATGGATCTACTTCTGGATGTATCATGTTCTCTTACTTTGAAAGTAAGAATAAACAGATATTTACCCTCTGATACTTGTGCTGGATTTCTTGTAGATCTAACACGTTACTTTGCATTAGCAGGCTGCTCTTGACAAAGGCAAGAACTCTGAAGGAGATGTGGATGATGAGAATGAAGAAGTGCACTCTACTGGAGATTTAGGTCATACATCCAAATCCATTGAAGCATTGACATCTCAGATGAATGCGATAGCTGTTTCAGAAAGGTCTGCTGGAGTAACTCCTCCAGTGGACTCATTGGAAGCTTCATGTCCTGAGCCTGCCGTCCAGGATATTGATAAAAAAATTAGGGCTCTCAAAAAGAAGGTATGCCAATTTCAAAATGCCTTATCTCTGAGTTCATCTTGTTTTATGCGAGTAATTGGTTTCTCAAGGAATCACTATTTTCCCCTCTGGGTTGGATGCTTGAACAAACTTGTCAATTCTGTGAACGCCAATGGGCTACGTCTTTAGTGTTAGATTAAATTTTGGGATGCCAGCCTGATTAACAGGCAGTATCATGCTCTGCAGCATATTAAGCTCCTTTTTTATTCGGGCAATTGTAACTCAGGAGGGAACAAACAAACTAGGGTTCATGTTTACTGTTCCTGTAATAGCATTTACTTTTGACCTTGGTGCCTAATACCAAGTGGCGTAACCATCCAATGCCTGCAATTTTAGATTGAATCAGACCAGGCTGCAATATATGGTGATCCTTTAAAAGAACCGACGATTACAGGGAGTTCTTGCTTCACCTATTCTTCTCTATGTTCCCAGATTCGGTTGGCAGAAGCTCAGCAGCAGAAGAATGCTACAGACAGCGTGAAACCAGAGCAGTTGGAGAAGTTCACGAAGTTGGAAGGTTGGCGTGAGGAGCTGAAGCTCCTGGAATCTACAAGGGTCGAGCAGGTATCATCCTGATTGGCAGGGTTTCCTTTTTCTCTTACCATTTATCTGAACAGCAGTGTAGTTTCTTTGAACCCTTTGTCTCGTCCCGATTGTCAAAAGCATTGAAAACTCTTGGAGACCCAATATCCAGATCATCTCGACTGCAACGGTTTGCTGTTTAACTTGTCTTTTCTATTTCATACCGTGTTTAGCCCACATGATATATCCTCTATATATCCAGTGCCGAGTAAAATAATCACCAAGGTTTAGTCTGGGTTTAGTCTTGAGACGTGACAAGGGATGAGAGATTTAAACCAGGATACTGGGCAAAACAGTTCACTCTGATCATGTTGGCTGCAAATTTATTTCTTGCGTCTGTTTCTTGTGTCTTGTTTCAACGGTTCATCTTTGAATGACGCTCCTTTTTTGTGATATTACCCGATCGAGCAGATCGAAAACTGGCACTAGTTTGGATTCCGTAATGAAACCGTCACGCCACACATCTAGACTCGATAACAAAAAGACAACAAAAGTTTCAACCAAGTTCGAACAAGGCAACAAAATCTATCTTTTTTCGAGTTTGGGATCCTGTAACAGAACGTTGAACTCTAGTAACAAAATACCGAGATTGCCCTATTAACAGTAGTTGGTTGGTTCACTTGCTCTTCCTCAGTGCAAAACAAATTTGGTTCAATATCCCAGCACAATTTCCTCTCTCGACGCAAAAGTACCCAACAATTTATTCTACTTCGCCTCTGGGCTGTTACATTAACATACAGACACGTGGAGCATCATCTGTCCACGTGTAAATGAGAAGGAAAAAGGCGTCATGCACATGAACCAAATATTGAGTATGCAATGACGCACGTACGTACGTAGGTAGGAGCAAATTAACTGTACCCCACCCGAAACAAATCGAGATAATCAAAACATTCAATTAAGCAATTAACCATAATTAGATTAAATCAATACTTCTCCCTTCCTTAACCACAATTACCACGCCTCGTAATCACTTTTTACAAATAATAATTATTAAAAAAAAGAAAGAAGAAAAATAACGAAAGAAAGATCGGGGAAATAAAAAAAATTTCCGGAAACAGAAAAGGCGAAATTCGGCCCCTGTCTGCAATCTTTCCCTTCCCCCGCATGACTTTCTCTGGAACCGTTCGTTTCCACCTCATACGTACAGCTGTAATACAACAAATCTATTGCGTTCCTTTTTTATTTCTCTCTGCTGCACAGTCAGCACCACTCCTGCACACAACTCACCCACGCATCAATCCTTCGTTTCGTTATATAAGGAGAGCTTTGAGAGACAGAGAAAGCAACAAAAAAAAAAAAATCATCTGAAAGCAACAGAGAGAGAGTGAGAAGGCGGAAGCATCACTTCTTCTCCGCTCTCTCGATCGGAGTTCTTGAAGTTCTTTAATTTCCTCTCTCTTGGAATTTTCTTGAACCCTCAGCGAAGAGAGATCGATTGATATATCACCGTGTAAGAATGGGGAAATTGACGATGCGGGAGAAGGTGGAGGAAGTGAAGCCGGCGGCGGTGATGGTGGTGGTACAGGTGGCATTCGCCGGCGTCAACATCCTGTACAAGCTGGCGGCCAACGACGGGATGAGCCTCAAGGTCATCGTCGCCTACCGATTCCTCTTCGCCACCGCCTTCATGGTCCCTCTCGCCGTCGCGCTCGAAAGGTTATTCTTCTTCCACGTTCAATTTAGTTTGTATTAATCAATTAATTTTCTTGATTAACTGTATGTGCATGGCTCGAAGTAAATGGGATACGCTGTCGTTTATATAATTACACATTTTGTACTCCATTAGGGTTTAATCTTTGATTTACTGTAGTGTATTACGTATTAGTACTGTGGTTATATGATCATATTGATGATGATGAAGACGACGACGATACGTACGAGTCGTTCTTGGTGGTGGAAAGAAATGTTTAATGAAGTGACGCTTTGGGAAAAATATTTCCACAATTTTCTGTTTGCTTTCCTATTGTGCAATTAACCTCCATTTATTGGTGGGGATTTAGTGTAAATAGCAACATATGTTCCCTTTGTCTACTTTATTTATTTTTTTAATTTAATTTTTCTTTTTTTTTTGCATTTAATTTCTGAGCTTGGTGGGTTTCATTTCATTTCGTTGTACAGGAAGAAGCAGCCCAAATTCCGGTGGTCGATCCTGGTGCATGCGTTCCTCTGTGGCCTGTTTGGGTAAATTGTTAATTTCCACCTGATCACCTGGCTACAATTTTTCGTCAATTTTGATAATGTTCGATGCATGTGGTGTACAATTCGCGTTACTAAACCACTATCCTGAGCTTTTTTTAGTGATTATTAATAATTGTGAATCACGAAATGTACAATACTACCATATATATATATATATAACCATGTATAGTAAGTAACATGACTAAGTGGCGCAATGACGCAAACTGGAGAATGGGGGTGGTTTAATTTGATTGACGTGCACAAATTGTTCACTTGGTTTGATTTAGTGGTGGGTGGGCCGAGTTTCCAAATCCATAAGTTAACTAGCAGTAATTACAAGTAGGTATAACTTAAAACTGACCTCCTCCAGCCAACTGTTCGTTCATTCACGCACGGGACTAATTAATTCTGATTTCCAAACTCTGCAGGGGCTCACTGGCTCAGAACCTCTACCTGGCGAGCCTGGCCCTGACCTCGCCGACGTTCGCCTCCGCCATGGCCAACCTCGTCCCCGCCATCACCTTCATATTGGCCGTCTCGTTCAGGATAGAGAGGCTGGGGCTGGGAAGCGTGGGAGGGAAGGCGAAGCTGGCGGGGACGTTGGTCGGGATAGGTGGCGCCATGCTGCTCACTTTCTACAAAGGCTCGGTCCTCGACACCTGGTCAACGCACGTTGACCTCCTCCACTCGCCGCCGCCGCCGCATTCCGGCCACGTGGCGGCCGACCACCAGAACCGTGGGCTCGGTGCTCTCTTCGCCGTTGGCAGCTGCTGCTCCTACGCCCTCTGGCTCATCGTCCAGGTCGCTCTAATTACTATATTTCCTCCATTTTATTTTTATTTTTATTTTGCTTTGACATGAATGGACCGTATTCGTAGAGAGTGTATTTATCATGTGATATATTCCAAATAATAATTTTGCGTAAGTGGGGAGGAATATTTTGAAAATGCGGACGCTAGAACTTGGCATATACATGAACAAACAAATAAATTAAAAAAAAAAAAAAACTGATATGAAAAGACAGTACTTGCCAGTATATGAACCGGGGTTTTGACCCTCTTTACAGAAAGACGAGAGTCGCACTTATGCTCGAATCTATGTTGAATAATTTATGCCCAAAAAAAAGTAGAGCAAAGAAAAGAAGTTTACAGGAGCTTGTAAGTTGTAACTAGTAAAAATCGTGAATTAAAATTTAAAAGCTTACGATTTTAAGTTTTTACCTCATTAAAACGTTTCTACACAAATCTCAGTTTTTATAACTTATATAGTTAAAAACTCCGCTTTAAAACTTATGATTTTACGCTTCTAAATCACCAAAACATTTCTGCGTAGAAACTCGTTTTTTTGACTACGTTGGTTTGCATGCAATAGGCGAAGATGGGGGAGAGGTATCCATGTCCCTACTCGGCGACGGCGTTGATGTGCATCATGGGATCGATTCAAGCCGTTGTATATGCTTTGTGCACCGAAAGAGACTGGACTCAATGGAAGCTCGGTTGGAACGTCCGCCTTCTCACCGTCGCCTATTCTGTACGTACTTCTAAATTTGTCCTTTGATGATTTAGTTATATTAGTGGAAGATCATATGAATATTATTATTATTGTATGATAATATACATGCAGGGAATTGTGGCGTCGGGGCTGATGGTGACGATCATAGCGTGGTGCGTGAAGAAGCGAGGACCTCTTTACGTCTCCATTTTCAACCCGCTGATGCTGGTCTGCGTCGCCGTCGCGTCCAACTTGCTGCTCAACGAGAAGCTTCACCTGGGAAGCGTGCTGGGAGCGACGTTGATCATTTGCGGGCTGTACTGGGTGATATGGGGGAAGGGCAAAGAGATGGAGCAGCAGATCATATTGGAGAAGGAGCTGATGAGTAGTGTACATGAGAACAACGTTCCTAGCAATAATATTCACGTACTCGACGGTCCAAGGACGGCGACGGAAATGGATCGTGACGATCATCATGGTCGAGGTACGAATGTCGAAATCGTCGTTGTGCGCCTGTCGTCGTCGGACGGGACGGGCCAAGCCCTCGACATATAGCTAGATAGGTTAATTGAGGACAGTTTAGAGGTCGACTGCCTTCGGGTTAGGTATAAGAGATAGAAGGATATGATGTTGTTAGGATTTTCGTATATAGCGTTTAGTGTGAGAACTCCCCAAAAGTCAAAGAGGGTTTCTGTTGATGTCTTGATGATAAATATGAGTAAAGCTGTGTCACGTTATGAAATCAAATCAGAAATCATATATGTTCGCAGCTTTTCAATGAAGCCAGTGTGGTGAGGGCCGGGGAAATTTTTTGGGCCACGCTAAACCAACCAAGGCCCAAGGCCGCATGTACCTCATATAAGCCAGTTTGTTTGGGCTGGTTATCCGCTTCCGTTCATTTATATATCGGGCCAATATTACGGTGCTTTTAGTTGTCCAATACGACTTCGAGTCAACCATGGTTTACCCCATCCAATAAACAAAACCAAATTTAGAGCCTCTTGACTCCCCAAATCCCTATAACGAAATGAATACTAAAACCCATGGCCGCTGGTACCTAAAACCCATGGGACAGGCCGCATGATCCTAAAACCCCAACCCAATCAACGCGGGGAATTTCCGCTTTGACTGGTTATGGGTAAAACCCGCAAAAAGTTTGATGGGTATGGGGCGGGTATGATTTTAGCTTCCCCGCCTCATACTCATACCCTTACCCGCCCCACCAAGAGAATTTCTTCACATATAAAAAATATGTGGATTAAATTGTAATCTATCAATGATGATGATGATAACTCGAGAAAATAAATAGTAGAAATGCAATTGAGTAACCACCTTAATAAAAACCTAATTCATTTCCCTCAATTCTCCTTCCACTCTTTCACTTTCCCCCTTGTCAACAAAATTATGTTAGTTAATTATTACTTAGTAAATGTATAAAGAGTTAGAGCATAATAATTTAAAAAATATTGTAGTCTATATTATGTATTAATGGATGTTTTAGGATCATATTATTTGAATCGTATTTAGAAAATGACCGTGTTTTGTTGACTTCATGATATAATGGGTTTGTTTATGGTTATAATTAAAACTTTTCTTGTAAGTTTTAGGTATAATAATGTTGGATGTACGAGGATGAGTATTACCCATGAGTACCTGAAACCCACGGGTATGGGGATGGGTTTGCAAAACATTCCCCGCATGGGTATGGGGCGGGT